AAATTATTAAGTCTTTATTGCATGGTTTTCAGATTTTTAGTAGGTGCTCAAAATCACCGAAGCTTGTATAATCTCATTCTTTCATTTTCACCTCTGCAGTCAGAAGCTTGATAATAGCATTATCGGGATAGAGAGAAACTAGTCTATAAATTACGCAGCGAACCTCCGGTCAAACCTAATACGTATTGAAGACACTGATAAATAGATTTCAGCAACAATGCGCCGATGATAATCGTGTCCTTTCTATACCTTCACTTACTAATCTTCGTGGTTGAAGCAGTATCAGGACCACAAGGTAGATCATTCTCTTCTTAGCAGTGACCTTAAAATGTTTTGTACATCATGTAAGCATTCTGCCTCTCTAGTAGGTTCTGTATTATGTCGCTGTAGAAAATTCCGATTTTGATCTCATTTGAGGAAGAAAATTATGCGCTCTTGCAGACGTTGAGCGATTCATAGACAAATTTCAAAGATCAAAACTAAAGTTGACTCCAATTTCAATTGCAAGTTCGCCAAAATTTGAGGTTCCGGTGAGTAGTACACATAGTGCAAACGTTACGAACTAATCTTTCTATGTGAAAATTGAGTCAAATGTCTTTTAAAGAAAATTTTTGGAAAATGAGAAAAATGGGAAGAAATCTCATGTCAAATATTCAATAATAAAATTTCACAACCCATTCCACAAATGCAAAAGAAAAGCCTACGAGATAGTGGTTGTTTTCAAAATTTTCTGAACCTAATGCGAGTGCGATCTTAAAGAGGAACTGACTTAGAAGGGTATTTGGTGACCGTGGCCTTCTCAAATAAAAAACGTACACCGTTAATTGTTCTTGAAGCGCGATTCCAAATTTGCTTTCGGTATCTGCTGTGCGCTCTTCCGACAGAAGTTGTGAACGTTTGTTGCCACCAAAATTTGCATTGTTTTTGGTGCAGGAATTCACCCATTAGAATGTTCGCTTATGCACTACAAAAGAGCATCCAAATAAAGTAAAGTTTTACATTAAGCTCAGGAAAACTGTCTCCGATATATCAGAGTCTAAAAAGCCTGGATACTGACGATTCTGACTGCCTAAATCTCGTAAAATCGATATGGAAAAACTCCATAATCTCGTTCAGAGAGTTACACAGCAGTAATGAACATAGATTTGGAATCAGCGTTTCAAGACGCATCTACTGGTATACATCTCATTTCAAAAGGCTACAGTCACCAAGTATCCTTCCCTTGTTAGTCACTCCCCGATATTGTTCGAGAGTGTCTAGTCGTGCACTCGGGTTGAAAAAATGCCTCTTGAAGGCAGACTCCCGGCAAATTTTGTTCCCCGGTTTTTCACCTCGTCGGAGCCTTCTCGCCATGCCGAAGCCATATCTGAGCTTTTTGGCGCTTGAAAATGACAAGAATGAGCTTTCTTTGAAGTTTTTCGTGTCTTCGTTCGCTCAAAATTACGTGTAAGACGGGGACATGGCTCGGAAATAGGCGGGGTCTGGAAGATTCCGGTCACTGATAGATTATTTGGAGGGTCTACCATTGGAACACTGTAAAATCCGGTACTCGTCATTTTGAGGGGACGCTGTTTTTAAGCCGATCAGACCATTAGGAATGTGATCTAGAAGAATACGCAATTTTCGTCCTTTACGGATCATTTGAAATTGGGTGTTTTGCTGCATAATTTACGTTATATAGGATACGTTATTAATAACAATAATGTAGAGGATTCAAGAGGGCTCAGTTTACATTGCACGGTGAAATGGAAATTCATTGAAATTTATATCATTTCCGGAATTATAATAAATCAGGTAATGAAGAAGAGCGTGGGTGATAGAAAAGCAACTTGAGCTCAGATTTAAAATAACTATTTGAACTATTATGAAACATTGATCAGACTGTACCGTAACCATTGTGCATTTCGATCGACTTTGAAAACTATATGCGAGCTGCGAACAGAGAATGTATACAATACAAATAACTTATTGTTGTTCTAGTGCGCATGAAAACAAAATATTTCGCGATTGTTAGTTGATTGCGTCAGGTTGAGAACTGTGAAGTTGTTTTTGAAATGATGATTGTTTTCACAATATCAAGGATTTTGCAGCTAAAACTCGAAATCGATGGTATCCTTTGCCTCAGCGAAGTTTGCACTGCATCTTCTCACGGGCAGCAGATCTCGATGACTGGGAACAGCTGGCAGATGAGATTGCCAAAGGAGGCGTTAACGTCTCACTGGTGAGATTATCAGACTGTATAGCTAGTGGCAGCGTCCAGGTAAATCTGGACATATGGGGATCTTACGTGGATAATAATTTTGGAACCCTAACCAAGCCATTGCCCAACCGGCAGCTCAGGTAGTGCTCTGACGGCTGAGATATTTTTCCACCGAAACTGGACCCTAGAATCGTATTTCGCATGGATTCATGGCGTAACCCATCAGTGCGCGAGGACCCACGCGTTGCGCCATGAATAGATGCGAAATACGATCCTGGGGTCCAGTTTCGAGTGGAATGTCTCAGTCACTAGAGGACTAACTGTGCTGTCGGTTGTGCAGTGCCTTAGTTAGGGCCCCAAAATTACTTCCCACGTAAAATCCTCATAAGTCCAATTTGCCTGGACACTGCCTTCAATGCATGACTTTCTAGATAATGCAAAGTGAAGCTTTGAGAGTCGCATCTGCTTAGGGTCTGAAGCCAGTAACGCCATTATCCGTAGAATGTGTTGATCCGAAAGCTCATTGCGTGGCCATATGGGCAGCCCGAGACAATCAAACGGAGATGTTACTACAAGGTTCCTATTTCTTTCGATCTGGAATGTGTAATTAATTTTTTCACGTATCACATTTTCTAGTTTTGTTCGTTATCATTTGAACTCCAAAAATGGATGCGATTAGACATGAAGGAAAAAATTTCAAAAAATAAAGTCTTTGACGACTGAGTTGTTTTTGACAGTAATAAAAAAGACTTCGAAATCTCGTGGTCTGCAATCCCTTTCGGGCTCGGTGCAACTAGAATAACGGCCCCATCGCTTTAGCCAAAAAAACAGAAAAATTACTAAAATATTTATTGTAACAAAGAAAACTATGCAACAACAGCAAGAAAATGAGAGAAAAGATCGACGAGTAAGGTAGTTAGAAATCGAGAAAATCCCTCTGATCGCTCAACGCAGCTCTATTTATCCGTGAAAGATGCGCCAAAAGGTCCCTTTGGTGGCCATCGATGATTCGAACAGTTTCCATCTTCCTGCTAAATTTAACTTCGTGATTTTTCATTCAGTTCACTTTCAAGTAAATCTCAACTCATGCACCACTATCTTCAACAGTCAAACTATGTTAGAGATGACAAATCTTAAAGTGGTCCCATTTCCGGCATGATTCCAAATCAGATCGTAATCATTTCCAGTATTCTGAGTATAGGTATCAGTGAAAGTCCAAGAAATCTCGTTTTCAGGGAGGGGAAGGCGGCGGAAAGTTACTTCATAAAGGTTGAACCAGCTACGTCCCGCGAAGATTTTTTTCACCGAGCTAATCTGATCCTTATTGAAAGACTAGATTTTTTTATACTTTACAGGTCGAATAACTTTTTCGTAGCACCTTGAACTCTTTTTTTACTTTCTCCTTGCAATGTTCTTATATGCTCAGTCACTTATTAACTTTATTATTTTATGGATTCAATGGTTTAGAATGACTCAGCTGGAAACATTCAATTTTCATCTACTGCAAATTCTTTGTCAAGCTAAATTTATATCAATACTCCAGGATGCTGGGACGTTATTCATGACGTTTGCTCTCCTCCCGGATCATGTTCAAGTGGTGACAGAGTTTTCCAGCAATCTCGAAGTTCGGTTTCTTAAACCTTTTTATTACTTGCATGTTTCCTTCTATAAAAAAAAAACTTCAAAACGGTTTAGATGGATACCCGTCCTACATGTGCTGCTGTCGAGAAAACGATTGTAATAGGGTCGAGAACGTTGAGATAGGTCCTGTTCGCCGCGAAAACCAAACCAACACGGCAGAATATTCACCGACTGTGCAACAACAGGGTAGGGAACCGGACTGGCACAGTCACCTTCAAAAATGATTATTTTAACTTCTTGAGAACTTCACCAGAGAAGTTCGGCCCTAGCTAAGTTAGTACGAACGAGAGAGTATATTGGGGAAGGATGGGTACTTGATTATGTGAGTGCACCCTCTCTCCCCCTCTGCTCCAGGGATAGACCACAAAATTCTTGAAATTAATCTACAAAATACAATCGTGACTGAAAAGGTCCAAATCTATAAATAATTGAGACGGTTTTGCAAACGAAAATTAGGCTTCAACTTTTCATGGCTTCAAGCTCGCAAAAGTTTGGAAACAACCCAACATTTCTTTGAGAGAACGTGGCAAAGGCCGCAGCTTTTTACTCGAAAACTCTTTTTATTTCCTCCTCCTCTTCTTTGGGGAAAACTCCGTGAGCGCTACTAATGATTAAAAAGGCTCAAAAAAGCTTTGCTCGTGGCTTAGTAGACTTCAAACTAGCCCGCTACCGTACTTGAGGGCGATGAATCTATTCATTTGAAAAGAGGTAATGAGCAAAACAAAAGGAAATCTCAAAGAGATTATCCAATGTCTGTTTTAGTTCTTCCACTAGACGGAAGTGATAGGAATACGACTTTCCGCGAAAATCACCAGTAATAAAGGAAAATCGTGCATCAAAAGAAAGGAAAAACAGTAAAGGAAACTAAACTTAACCAGTCAATTTTTTGGTCATAATTGACTTGGCCTTGGACCTAAAAACTTGGGTAATTGAGTCTCCTTAGGTCACCTGACTTTCGAAATGTTGCTGGTTTGTGAGATTGTTTAGGCATCGAAACTGCCCAGTATTTTTGCTTCCGTACATTTGACGTTGATCATATTTTTCTTAGTCCAAAATTGAGATTTCATGTGGTCAAACTTGCCATAAATGTTGACTAATGTTGACTGATTTGCTCATTATTCATGGTTTAGGCCATCGCTATTTGTTATTGTGGGTTACTATGACAGTAAGCGTTGTCATAATACTGCTGGTCGTAAGGACATGCTGGAGTCACCGAAGGAATGGCGAAAATCGCAAGGAAACCACCGAGTTTATTCATCCTCAATTGCATTCTCAAGATCTGGGAATGGGATCGTCAAATAATTGCCTGCAAGGTAAAGTCCTGTCAAAGCTGGAAGCGGAGGTTTGAGCATTTTCTCCACAGCTTCCATGAACGGGGATGGAAACTCTGAATGAGGGAAGCGGGCGTTGGCCATCAGAACAATGATGGGATCTTACCGAATTAAATTCTACAAATGACGCAACGTAGCCTATTGCAGATCTGAGGCACGACAAACAAAAGATGAAATAATTAACATTTATTTTTTATGAAATTAGAATTATCAAAGTACAGTACTGCTCTTATCGCACAATCTCACTACGAGAACGTGAAAATTACCAAACACGCGACGAAGTGCTCATGCTACCGTGCATGCGTTCTTGATATTATGTGCTCAATGTCTCGAAGGGTTCGCAAATCCACTGCGCAGCGCCAAGGCATAGGCGAACGGCACGACTATCTCCGCTTTCTTGATTTTTCATTCAGCTGATCAAATCCAAGCAATACTCCAAAGACATCACCCGAGTGCTCTTTGCGATCACCCTGTGAACTTTTTATGAAATTAGAAATCTATCTTAACAGTAATTTTGTTCGAGTAGTGAATTTAGCGTGCGGAAACATCCAACTAACAAATTTTTATTCTCCTCATTTATCACCTTTAGATAAGACCGACAGCGAGCCACTTTTAGAGGAGACCGATCCTGTTCTTTCATCTCTACAATGGGGTGAACAGATAGCTGTTGGGCATTTCGCAGTTATTCATCATGCTACGTCATGTAAGTATTCTTTCAAAGTAAAAAAATCAATCAAGTAGCTTATCTAGAACTTACGTTTAGGCGTTGGTGAAGTAGCAGTAAAAGTTTACCAATCAGATGAAGGCTTGCTGTCAAACGAACAAGAGATCCTTTCATTACTGGAACCGACTAAACATCCAAACATCATCCGTTTGGTGAGTCAACACTAGGCTAAGTTCCTGTTGATCCGGAGGTTTCGGAACAGTTCCAGCACAGCGCTCAAACTGTGCTGGAACCTTACTGCATGCCGCAGCCGCCTGGAGGTTGCCCATTAATTGTGGGTGTCAATTAGGCTGAGATCATACTGATCCCGATGTTCCGGAACTGTGCTGCACCCGCTGCAGCCGCCCGCACGCCGTTTTAAGCGGAGAGAGAGATTTTCAACCGTTTCCAACGGTTGTTCTCTCAGACTCCGTTCATTTCAGTTTCATTCTTTACCCCTGATTAGAAAAGTTGCGAGCTTAATGTAGGGTTGAAGAACGGGCGTTGTTTTGCTCCATTTATCCAGAACATCCATGCCCTAGCTTAAAGGCAGCGTCCGGTCAGGTTCGACGATATCAAGAAAAGCACAGATTCCTACAGCTCCCACCCCGATCAAGGTCTTGCCCGAGTGGCATCGCTCCACTTTGCTTCTGAAGCGAGAAAACCGCCTCAGAAGTGGCGACAGGGACACCCCTTTACGGCCGGCGGCGACATGCCCACCCATCCAAGGATTTCACGTTAGATGTGCAGGTTGCCAATTCGCCACCATAACTGTGGACAGGTTGCAACCTCGTACTTTCATAATCGTGCCGCAACACAATATTGCGGCGTCCTGCTTCTTTGGTTTCTGACCAGGGGCATGTGAGTGCTCGTCCGGAGGCCACTGGAAGGGGCTTCCGAAAACCTCGGATTTCTTCGTTTTCAAGCGCTCCGGGGCTTATATTCGCATTTAGGGCGACGAGTAGGGCCAAATAAGGCAATAAACCGGAGGTCGTCAATCTGACCGGACGCTGCCTTTAAGATAGATGCCTGTGAAACCACGTGGCTTCTTGGAACACATGAAGTGGGTCTAAACAAAAATAACGAAAAGAAAACAGATGAGCGTAAAATGATACATCTTCACGATACATAGAGGCAGAACTGCGCTTATTCTTTGGCCCCGCTTCAACTACGCAGCTTTTCTCATCACAGGGAGAAGCAAGATAAAGCAGTGAAACCGAAGTGTAAAATTTGAAAAAGAAACCGGTGAAACCGGTCAGAAATCTCTCTAATTCCCGCCGGTACAAGCCGCATGCGGACAGCTGCAGTGCATGCAGCATAGTTCCGGCACACTTCCACGACAATGCGAAAACTGTGCTGAAACTGTTCCAGAACATCCGCATTAATTTAAACCCCACCTTAGAAACGCCACAAAGCGGCGTCACAATAACCTGCGCGAGACCTTCACATTCCTGAAGTGACGCTTTGCTCAAAGGAAATGACGAAATTTTTATAGTATGCTCAATACTATATGCGGGCGGCATTGGCGTACCGAGGTGCCCCCCCCCCCCCGAGAATGAGTCGCGAAATTTTTAAAAATTACTCAAATGTGTTATAAAAATGTGCAAAGGACTTGTTTTTACTTGTAAATAATTGAATTATTTTCAAAAATTTTTAAAAATAAATTTTTAAAAATTCAAATTAGCCTTGTAAAAAAATTTGCCCGGAAAAATTTCGGGAAACACCCCAAAAAATTTTTCGGAGTGCGTGGCTGACCCACGTACCTTCACTAGAAAATTTTTTTGTCGCGACCCCCCCCCCCCCGAGCCGAAATCCTGGCTACGCCACTGGCGGGCGGATATGATGTGAATACTATTAGGTTTTTACATAAGTCTTATTACACTTTAACTTCTTATGGCGATGAGTCGTGCACCTCATGTTCTTCACAGGGCTTCAGGGTACCATTCGATAGAGCAAAGCAAGCTCTACAAGATGGCATACAAATGTTCGCACGAACTTCGACCCAATATAAGTTTGCATCCAAAATCTGAGTCGTAGTGAAGCCTTAAAAATTGCGAAAAATTCATATCTTTGTTCACAAAAAATCCTACGAATTTCCAACCTGATCATAATAGTTGCCTACGATATCAGACACTCATATGTACCACTGCTGTATTTTTTAATCTAGAAAGAGAAAACGAGAACTTCCTTGCTTTTACAAAAACGAAGCTATGCTGTTTCTCTTCATGTAGCTGTATACTACAAGCCCTTAGAAATATAACCGTAAATTTTCAGCTTTCCAGAATCCCTATTTTTCGAAAAATACCTAATTCAGCATTGAACACCCGAATGCAGAAAGCTAAATTCGGTATTTTTCGAAAACTAGGGCTTCTGGAAAGCTGAAAATTTACGATTATACTTCTAAGGGCTTGTAGTATACAGCTACATGAAGAGAAACAGCATAGCTTCGTTTCCGTAAAAGCAAGGAAATTCTCGTTTTCTCGATTTCTAGATGAGTAAAAAATACAGCAGCGGTACATTTGAGTGTCTGATAAAGTGGGCAACTACTATGAGCAAGTTGGAAATTCGTAGATTTTTTCTGGACAATGATATGAATTTTTCGCGATTTTTTGAGCCTTCAGTACGACTTAGATTTTGGATGCAAACTTATATTGGGTTAAAGTAGGTGCGAACATTTGCACACTATCTTGTAGAGCTTCCTTTGCTCTATCGAACGGTATCCCGAAGCCCTGTAAAGAATATGAGGTGCACGATTATTGCCGTAAGAAGTTGAAGTGTAACAAGACTCATGTAACAACCTAATATATCCGCCCGCATATAGTATTGAGCAGTGGGAAGTAGCACTTACCTCGAAAACTACCTCGATCCTCGACTCAAAACCGCTCTAATTTTTGTACTTTGCTCCATTGGTATCTTGCCGCCAAAAGCGGGAACGACAACCAAGAACGAACAATCAGCCATCATGATTTGTGAAAACGAATGAAGCTGAAAAGCCCAAAAATCCAACCTCATCAAACAGAAGGAATTTGCAATCTCTGTTATCGTGACAGTTTTAGCCTGCTCTACGACTGCTGACTCTGTGAAAATGTCAGTGACTTTCTGAAAAACAAAAGGGGTTTTAGTCAAACTTTCAAGGGTCTCACGTCACTACAAAGAGTTGTTTCATACTGCAGTCGCTGTAGCAACTGCGGTTATATCTGGGCGCGCAAAGTATTGATCGATTGACTGCCGTTGCTGCACTACTGCAGTATGAAACAATCCAAAGCGTTCGTTCTCAAACCTCGCTTCAAGTTGAGAATATTCATGTTACAAGAGGGAGCAACTTGCAGGAATGAGAAAATTTGAGGAAAATTTACAATTATAACCACCGGAAACGGTCTAAATTTGCTACTTTCGCCCGCCTCTCTATACCGCATCGGCTGCAGCGCATGATGCTGCATGCGGAACTTCCGAATCAACAAGAGTCTAGCCAAAAAACTAGCTAGAAGGTTCTCCTTGCTGAAATCTCTTTGAAATTTCATAAAAAAATAGTACAAGTAAAGAGTAAAAAGTAAAAGACCCTGACAACAGTATAAGGCGCACTTTTTGCTCCGTCAAATGCAGCACCTCGGCCCCTTGTAAACGGTCGCTCTCTGCCATTCTCTTACAGTCGATTTCACCCCGGATTAGGCAAAGCATTCTACGTGGAGCAGCGCGTGCACATCGCTGGAGGCTTCGCGAGCGCATGGCGCTGGCGTTTTGCCAAGCAAAGACCAATGAGAATGAAGAGACGCAGACTTGGGTTCTCAGCGCGATATGATACTGTAGCTGCGAAGCGGCGCGAACCGTTGTGAGGCGGACGCCCGCCAATCCAATTTGCGCCTAAAGCGGGTCGAAACTTACTGTAGGTGCCGCAGCACGGTAGATGTTGCGAAATCCTTTAGCATGTTCGCGCTACTTAAATTCGGAGAAAAATTAGTACTTTGGGTTTCAATGAGAGGTTTATTAGCAGCAATTGCAGCACAATCAAGTTTTTTCATGGCTAGCCTATAAAAAAATCAAATTTCTGAGCCAAGTCTCTTTGAGTGCCTAGTGCAAATTGGTAAATTATGTTAGCCTGTACATAACTGTCGCTGTCACGATTTTAGATTGCTTTTTGCCTTCCAGCAATTTTAGAAGACTATCTGATTATCTATTTTTGCGCTAATTCGTCATTTGCCAAAAGTCTGATATAATTGTGACAGAATAAAGTTATAGTTTCCTCTGATCCACGTACAAAATTTGCTCACAGACTTCTGTTGTTTACAAAGCTCATTCAGAAAGTCTCAAAGGTGAAAATCTAAATCATATAGCTTATCGAATATCTATTCAGTCAGAATTTGGTTGTTATCACCAGCAATTCAGATTCCGACCATCACTCAAAGTAACTACATTATCATGGAGCTGTGTTCAAAGTCACTGCATTCATTGTTAGAGGAGCGCTCCATTACCATGACGGAGCTGTTCGATTGTGCAATCTCAGTCAATGACGGATTGGCTTTTCTTCATTCACATAACAATGGTGAGAAGTGAAGTTATGAATTAGTTTGGGCTAGATATAAAGCACATTGTGATTCTACTTCTTTCTCTCTCTCTCTTCGAGCCTTTTACAAGCTTTGTATAAATTTCTTTAAATCTCCCCATGCCCTTAGTGGTCTTTATTTCTAGCATCCTTTTTTGAAAGCTTAGTCGGTTTTTTATCAAACGATACTTGCAATATTCCTCGAAATCACAACACAATAAAAGATGTGACCAACCAAAAATGGGCAATATAATCTGTTATTAGAGAAGACTGTAAGCAAAGAAGGAAGCTAGAAAAAATGACGACAGTGAGGGAACATTGCTAAATTGTTTACAAACAGAAAAGAGTGATGCTTATGCTCGCATACTCCCTCTTTAGATATTAATCGGAAGCTGCATCCCAAAAACTACTTAGGGAAAAGAAATACCATACTGACCATTTCTGAAAAGGTAAAAAAACACTGCATGTGATTTGGTCACGCACTTTTTTTGAGTCTCTATTATCATATAATCTTGATTCTTTGCTCTCGCTGGTCCAACTTCTTACCCCATTGTTTCTCATTTTTCTCGATTCCTTTTCCAGCCGGAGTAACAAAATCTGTGGTAGCTCATCGAGATCTCAATCCTTACAATATACTAGTGAAAGATCAGTCTTGCCCTCGTTTACAACTATGCATTGCGGATTTTGGACTATCTGTAGTTTTTCACGGAGGACGCATGGGAAAGGATGCAGCCGAGCTGACCGAGGTAATTTTGCAACTAATATTCTATTAGGGTGAACGGTAAAAAATGGGACACCTTGAGAATAATTGCAGATTTCTCAAGGAATAAAAGTGACTGAACTTTCCAATTTTGATGGATATTAGAATAAACTATTCTCTTTCAGATAGCACCTATATAAGGTCATTTAAATAATTGATAATTTTTATAATTGCTAAAATGCAAAGTTAGTTACTTCGAGAAATTATGAAGTTTGAGCAGTATCGGCGCAGTGAAACATGTGAGACCACCCAAAGTACCACTGCTGGAGTGAGTGGTGGGACAGTCACCAAACCCACGACGGCTTGGTGGCTTTAACTCTCAATGTCAGGAGATATGCCCATTAACAGCTTCGAGAACAAAGATACGCGTTATTCAATTCTTTACAGGTAAACGCATGATTTCTAGGTATCATCTGATAGAGCTTTTTACGCTCTATCCATCCATATCCAGTTTACTTCAGATTTTATCTATCTTCGGAAAATATAGGGCAAAACATGATTTTTTGGTCTTTTGTTGCGCCAAAAATAGCTATTTTTCAGGTTTTTTCGATTTTTTTCTAAAATTGAAAAGAAATCTCATGCATTTAACGCATCATTCGAAAGAGCATGAAGAGCTCTTTCGAATGGTATGTCATTTGCTTTACGACTTTACGGTATAACAGCGCAAGATTGAGGATTGTCCAAAAAACCCTGTTCGAGTTCTTCACGGCGCCACGTGTAGGGTAGTGGAAGAGGAGCGTTAACGCGTTGTCAGAATAATAAGCGAAGGTCGCCCATGTGAGCGACGTTTAAGTTGCTGCTTACTTGCTGTTGCCAGAAACAAAAAATTGTAAAATGTAATGAAAATCAAGCTGTCCCATTTTTTACCGTTCACCCTAATACTTAATTTGCATATAAATGTTTTCAGCGTGGTACCGCCCGTTACATGGCGGGCGAGTTGATCGAAGGATCGCTGAATTTGCTAGATCCTATGACGTCACTTTTGCAGACAGACGTCTATTCCAGTGCTTTAGTACTTTGGGAGCTACTCTGGCGATGTAAGGATATTTGGCCAACAGAGGGTAAGCTCAGAATCCTTGCATAAGTTGAAGGGAAAGAGTAGGATAGCGGCAAGAAGGTTGATGGGTGAAGTGGAGGATCGGAAATATTCCCATTTCTTTACCTTTTATTTTCTGCCTCACCATTCCTGCTAATTATTCCACCGTAATTACATCCCACTCTTTGGCCACTTCCCTTTCTTATTCTTCACTTTGCCCCCTCCCCCCAATCTTAACCTTGCAGAATCCATAGTGCCTTTAGAAATTCCGCCTCTATATAATGTGATGTTTCTAGAGCCTCCTTCCTATCGGATTGCTTACGACAATCTGGTACCAAGAAACCCTCGTGTGCAGGATATGTACCCAGTTGTTGTTAGGGATCGTCGTCGTCCTGATACGCCTCCAAGCGTCCATAAGCACAGGATCTCCGTAAGATTTTTATATCTTCGACTTGAATTTCTCTAAATTGCATGGTTTTAGGGTTTGAGCGAACTATGGTCGTGCATCACCGACATGTGGGAGCATGAACCTGAAGGACGCACGACGGCTGCATGTACAGCTGACCGTTTGCGACGCTTACGGAAAACTATGAATCCTCATGGAGTTTTGTAGACAAACTGGGAGAAGCCATTTTGCTGCACGCCCTTTCATCGCGGATCAGTCCGAAGAGGGGAGAGAGAAGATGAGGTAGCCACTCCCTCTACTCAGAAAAGAACGTCGTATCTACTTTCTTTCCTCTCACAAAATTGTGTGCGAAAGTAGCAGAATGCACACAAATCGAAAAGGCCCAGCATGGCTCTGTTGTTGTGTATATATAGGCAAAACCACCATAAGCCGGAACAAAAAACGGGGCATCGCACCTTGCGTCTCTTACAAGGGATGGATGGTCATTCAAAGTGGCCTTTTGCGAAGATTTGTATACCATGTTGGAGGGCGTAAAACGCTGGTTTCAAATCTGTCCTCCTTATCTGCGGCGCCTTCCTGGACGAGGAGTCATGAGCGTTTGAAGGTGCAAAAAATGAATGTTTTTGGGATAAAAACAGTTGCTAAAGTTTTCCCAGCTCTTGAATGCGACAGCCGGAGTGCCAATGTATCTCATCTAAGAGTATTTATTTTATAGAGTGCTGGAAATGCAGGGTGTCTTAAAAAAATGTATCGAACGTTTGATCGTTAATATCTCTGCTCTGAAGAAGTTTTGTAGAGCTGGCTTCAACTTAGATTTGCATTATAGAACGAATCACTCACTCATCTCTCTTCATTACTGTAGGATTACGGTAGAAATTTCAAGGAGGGTTTTAAGCAAGAAAGGCCATATTTTGCCTCAGAAAGGAAACAAAACAGCCTCGAAACTTTTACACTAGGCTAATTAGAGTTGCTGATTATGTAAAGTTCTCAACCTATTATGATGTTTTATTGAAGAGTTATGCCAGGTAAGAGGTAGCGGCCATTTTTTTCAGTGTTCCTAAAAAGTGCGGTTACACCGTTTAGAAAGCTTCGTAATCTCGTGTTGAGTATCAAACTCAGCGTCCATAAAAACCCTTTTACACAAGTTTTCACATTTTTTTGAAAAATTTTGAAACGGCAGCTTTTTCCACATTGACACCATATGTTTCAAGTTTCTACCGTAATCCTGCAGTAATGAAGGGGGATGGGTGATTCGTTCTAAAATGCAAATCTAAGTTGAAGCCAGCTCTACAAAACGGTACTTGAAGCAAGGCAAAAGACTTCTTGGGAAGAGAGATATTAACCATCAAACGTTCGATACATTTTTAAGACACCCTGTGTTGTCACGGATCCCTTTAAGTGCTATAAAAAATGTTACTACTGTTTTTGTATTATTTGCAGACTCGATTTTTTTCTAATAAACGCTCATAACTTCTCGTGCAGGAAAGCGCCGCAGATAAGGAAGACAGATTTGGAATCAGCGATTTATGTCCTTTAACAAGGTATACAACTCATCTCAAAATGCCACTTCGACCAACCATCCTTTCCTTGTTAGTTTATTGTCTGAGTGACAAAATTCAGAAGCTCATGAGCTCTTCATCAGTGAACGATGATCTATGCCTCAAAGAATTTTTTTGCTTCTGATGCAGATAAAAGCCTTCACGAGCGCCATCTTAATTCGTAACGATGTTTTATCAACTTGTATGAAGTCTATTTCCTAATCATTTGTCATTGATAGTATTATTGTTTAATCAACTCATTTATACTAAATAAATACAGAATTAGCTGAATAGTAGAATAATAGAAAAGCTTGTTTCTCGCTTGAAAGATCTCTCATTTTGTTATCTCCTTGGTTTATTGGCTAAAAAATCAAACTGTAAAAACCGATCCTGTGGGAATCTGTATTATGTGCAGCGGTTGTAGTGACATCAAACGCTGATACATATTTGATTTTACAGTTAGTGAAAAAGCGAAATCCGTCAGAGCCGACTCTTAGAGCCTCCTCTGCGCCAGCACTAATCTTATCTAATTGTTTCATCTCATAGAATACGCACAAAGTGCATCTCAAGGGGAAATAGAAATAAAAGTCGAACAATCAAGTCATAGCCACAGGCGTCGGAGAAATAAATGTGATTGCGCTGAGGGAAAGCAAACCGTAAAATCTCAGACCCACAAGAATACGCATATTTGTTGTTAAAAGTCTTGCAGAGTTGCAATAAGGTACTCTTGACCAGAAAGGAGTAGGCTCCAGCTCGCTCAAAAATTGATGATGATGGTGATTTATGGTTACAGACGAGGAAATAAGAGGCCACACAAGATAAACAAAAGATACAAAATCAGATGAAAAAAAGCACCATGATGGGGAAACTGCCAAATTGTTGTGAGAAAAAGAGATTGAGTTAGTAGATGAAGTCACCGATATAAACGAATGATGTAGAAAGAAAGGGGAAATACTTTATGTATGAAAAATCAGTGTCAGAATAGCAAAACAACATGAAAGTAAGCAGAGAAGATAGTGGAAGAGACATAGAATTCATGAGGCAGAGACGGTGAATCATTTCAAATTTGATAAAGTCGGGATTCTGCAAACGAGCTCTTCTTAACCAACAGCCTTCTTAGTGTGCAGAAGCATCCTGTGAAACGGATACAATAGGTTGAGGTAGATCGATAGACTATAGAAATCTTGACCATAACGGCCTAGATCTACAAACGTCGATATCACCTTGTATAGCCGAATTTCAACTCCTTGAGAGCCACTGTGCGAGGTCCAACTATGGCACCCTAGCTCAGGAGCACTCCCGCATCTCCAAGGTCTAGCAAGCGAAAACATGCAAATATGAGTCACACCTAGTATGCACGGTGTAAGTAATTTTCAAAACTTTTGCGACTCACTCTCGAGGCGGGGGGGGGGGGAGATCGAGTCGCAGAATTTTTGGAAGTTACTTACATGGGTTATAAAAATGTGCAAGTGACTTGTTTATACTTGTAAATAATTAAAATAATTTTTGAAAATCTTTAAAAATTTAGATTAGCCCTGCAAAAAAATTTTCTCGGGGAGTGTTAATTTGAGGTCATGGGCCCACAGAAATTTTGGAAAGCATTCCAAAAATTTCGGAGTGCGTGGTTAATGCCACGCGCCTTACTTCAGAAGAAAATTTTGCAACCCTCGCGGTCCGAAATTTTGGGACCGCTGGCACACTGCACTGCGCTAACACCTAACATAAATACACCGATAGAAGGTTCATAAGTAAAAACTTGCTTTGGAACGCATTAGAGTGTGTATGCTTTCAAGCAGTTATGTCGCAGTCATATCTTACGATGCTGTAAAACATACGAACTAGTGTATAATCAGGCTAAGTCAGTTTAACACATCTTCATTGCTGGAAATACATTGAAGTAGAGCATAGCAGGAACACGGATTGAAACTTGATGACGGGTAAGAACTTACAAAAAAAATGAGAAAATGATTCATCAGCTTAAGAAACGTAGTAAGAGTATCAGGATCCAAACCTGCCGCGTTCAAAAGCCATCCTGTGAGAAGAGATATGAGAAGTTGAAATAGCATTCAAAAGGCATTTTACATCTTGGCACTACTCTACATCGTAGAGCATGTTTTGGTTCTAGATCGCTCATATGAATAATGCTTCTTCACCAGTGAGCAAGCAGGGAAAATCAGCAAAGGCGAGGATTACTTCTATCTGTAAAGAGATTAGAATTGCGCTGCCACCAAGCGCAAACGTGATACAGTCTGTGTTAATCACGCGCTCCCTCTAGTCTGGGAACTACGCAGGCGCAATGCGAGGCCTTGCTTGCGGAATTTAATCGATAAGGTCAATTTACACGCCTAAGCCATACGCAGGACCCGGCACGAGTCCGTTTTTAGACTTTTTGAGAACGAAGTTCCCTCTGACTTCCAAAAATTTTACGAAGTCCCCTTTGACCCTTGCTCTACCGCCTCCCCTCTTCCCCTCCGATTGTTGGTGGATCCTTGCATGCTCACTTAGTTCTTGACAAAATCATTTATCTGCTGCGAGCTCAGAATCTCGCAGTTTCAAGTCAAACTCGCATAGAAAAACCACAAAATCCACAGAATTGTGCTACATAAAGTCCTACATGGTCACAGAACGATCATAGATCATAGGCGGAAGAATGAAGAAGAAGAAGAAGAAGAGGGAAGAATGGAAGAAATCATCAGAATATTCGAAAAAAGCTAGACCTGAACAAAAGGAGAGGATGTAGAAGAGTTGACGCTGGGGCGCGATATCTATTGAGGCGATTTTCGAAAAAGAGGATAAAAACGACGGACAAGGAGTGATATAAAAATGTTTTTATGCTCAGGGATAGATTTTTGACCGAGGCATCCGTCCATGCTAAAAAGATCGGAAACTTATGTGAAGTGACAAAAATATATACTCCAGACGATCACAGATCGTCTGGTGGCCGTCTGGAGACGATCTAATTTTGGAAAAGGTGTTACTTCACATCAGTTTTCAAATCTTCTTACATAATCCTTCCGCAAATAATTTTCTAAGTATACAGTTCAATTTTGGTGTGATATGGTCCTGTGTGCGCTGTAAACAAGCAATTTGTTTATTTTCGCCTTTCTTTCAAATCGCGCGCATTTTTCGTCATACGCGATAGAGCATGTCGGTCGTGTGTTAACCTGTCCAAAAAGCTTGTGTTCAACTGCGCGTATTCCCTGTGCTCGTTCCCGACTCGTCAAAAACGAAGTCCCCTTTGCTTTTTGCTCTAAAACGAAGTCCAGCCTGCTTCCAGACGATCTGTGCCGGGCCCTGGCCATACGCTTCGAACGTGGGGCGAAACCCTGGCGTCGCGATTGCGCTTACGGAAAAGGCCATTTAATTCTCTGCACCTAAAAATCCTTATAACTCCTCGTGCAAAAACCTTCGCAAATAAGGAGAGATTTGTGGCTTTATGCACTCCAAGATGCTAATCCCTGATGTCACATTATTCCAGAATACAAAACCTAAGAATGAAAAATCTCGGATTTCGTTATAATTTTGTACATAGGGATTATTTGACATGGTGGTCATGAAAATGATACTCGCTTGGCATGGTAGGCTTTTTTGAAGGGTTAAAGGTCAAAATCGGGGGTCCTGCAGTGTCCGGGCAAAAACTCGATCTTTAGAAAATCTATTTCCCGGGGGTTATCCGCAGCGTTGAGTGTCGCGCGCGGTCGCATCATCGTCACGATTTTTGGCATGCCTCATAAATTGCTCATTATTTTGAAAGCGCTTTATCAAGCTTCGAAATAAGCTCTCGAAAGTCTTGATAGACGAAAAAATGTGGAATTTGTTGACGACTGCTTATTTGAAATTTTAGCTTTGCCTCGCTTTCAATTTGCCTGCGTAAATCCTGTACTGTTCGTCGAATACTCAGCGAAGCAAGGGGGCGGGGCCATCGCCACGCACCCGTCGATGCGAAAACGGCTGCTGCTGCTCTTTGGAGTCGGGGTTTTGCACTTTTTGCGCTTTTACCCTTTTGTCCAATCAATATATTTCTGGTTCCTTACTTTATTAGTCGAGAACTGTCAAAATTTGCGAAGGAACTAGGCTGCGCCGCTGTGTCATGCTTTTGAGTATTTTCGGAACAACAAGCGAGAACATCCTGTCCACGTTTTTTTTTATTAAGGCTAGGACTTTCACCTTTTACCTACTTCGTGTAATTGATTGCTGCTTTCATTCTCTTTCTTTTTCTGCTCTATTTTGGCCCTGTACTGTCCTTGTATACTCCCCTTGCCCTTATCAACGCTTGTACCATGTTAGAAGGCGCTGCCTTGGGTACCAACGCAAGGGCAAGTATTGATTTTTCTCTCGTCCCGTATGGTTATATAAAAAGTGAGTGAATACGAAAATGGGACGTGGTTGCCACGCTTTGCATCTATTTGTGCTTCGTTGCCATCAGTCTCGCTTTTTGTGATCCATAACGACTATCAACATGAACGGGTATCTTTGCTTCGGTGATCCAGGACTTTCCGGCCTTTTAGATATTATCGTCAAGTTTCTTATTCCATATGTCGCTCAAGTTCATGAACTCATCACTGTTCTATTCTGTAGGTCTTGCAGCTGTTTCATGTTAGTGCGAAAAGCTGTTTGTAGTATTCCATATCGCCTTGATAGCATTGGTATACATGAGTCCATTTCTTTCAATTGTCTTCTGGAACGGTCAAGTCTTTTCGGCGTTATTTTGCACTAGTTAGATTAGGAACTCAAAATCGTGAATTTGCTCAAACCTGTCTTTGGTTAGTTAGCAAACTTATCACGAATATCATCTTCCCCTCGTTAGTCTAGTGTGATCGCTTGAGACGGTCGGTACAAAACAGATGAGTCAAAATGCTGAATTTGCTTAGGAGATTAGGATGTCCTTCGGCCTGCTGGTTACGATCTTGGTAAGAGACCTTTCTGCGAAGCTGCGTTTGGAATATGGCATATCACCACTTTATGCACGAAGGAAAGATCTTGTAGCTGGCAACCGATGTGTGGATCGTAAACATCATGCTGAAAAACTTCCTTAGAAAGTGTTTTGAGCCAGTTAGGGATTTTTGTCTTTGTACCATAATCTCAGGGGATCACTACCTTGCAAAATCAAACATCTTCGTGTTGCCAAACATCCTTTTATGCAAAGTCTTTGCAAAAATTCTTTTGAGTTTGCCTCAACAATTAACTCTTGTTCTTATCATGGAATCTTTCTATCCTTGCCTACTATTTGTGATGTTTTTTTATATGGACACGCAAAATCTTTATCTGGCCGCAAATCGTATCTTTATAATCATTGGTTTCAGAATGAATTTTGGTGATACTCTTTCTGGAGCTGAATATTTAGCTTCGATTTATGGTACTGAAAAGGATAAAGTGAACTGCTCCTTCTTTTTCAAGGTAAGCCCAGATGTTCTGTTTTCTCAGTTTTAAACATTATACTTTAGACTGGAGCGTGCCGACATGGCGATAAATGTTCACGTGCTCACCATACGCCCACGTTTTCGCCAACAATCTTGTTGAAAAACTTCTACCACAATCCTGTTGTCGATGTACGGCAAGCAGATGCCTTTGACAGTAAGTTTTATTGGAAGTTTGATATATACATCATAAAATCGTATTTCTTTCCAGAGGTTGGTAGGAAGAATGAAGAGGAACAAAAATATTTTGACGAGTTTTATGAGGAAGTTTTCACGGAACTGGAAAGGAAGGTGAGCTCGTTCTTTATCTTTATAACTACGTATCTACATGACCCGGTTTTTTTTTTCAGTATGGAGAGGTGGAGGAAATCAACGTGTGCGAAAATATTGGTGAGCACATGGTCGGTAACGTTTATGTCAAGTTCGTACGAGAAGAGGATGCCGACAAGGCGTGCCGTGATTTAAATGACAACAGATGGTACGTTTCTTTTGCTGTTTTCAGTGATTAGTGTGAAGGGATATGGAGGAATTCGTTGAGCTCAGATTTGAGAATGACGAATTACTGCATATTCGCGTTGTCTGCGCTTAGTTGGAGTGGATCGGGGAGCGCACAATTTGTAGGATTGAGATGATGTTTCAGTTATTCCGTGTAATTTAAACGTGTTCAGATGCTCTACACACTGCAATCTTCATCGCATCACATCTCTCTTTAGTTGAAAGTTGCCTACGTACCTTCGGGCCCCATCGAGAGGATTTCCAAATCCCAAGAAAAAAATGATGCCCCATTATGGGCTACTAACCTTTTTTGTTTAATCTGTTCAGGCTCCATCCGAAAAGGGCTAGCCGTAATAGTCAGGATCTTTTTGACTACGCGGGCTGACTAACCACACTGTGAGCATAGACCCTAAACCCCCGTTCAGAGTTCAGATCCATTGACCGATTGTGGTTTGTGGCACAGTGTGCGCCGCGTTGTCGAGAGCCGATTGAGAAGGCAATTCATATGCATCTTAATAAGTGAGTGAGTATACTCACCATTCCGGTAATTGTTCAGGCCCGTTCCTTTTTTGCTTGGCGACGATGCGGGTGTTCGTTAGAGCTGAGGTTTGGACTTACATCGAAATTGGTCTTACTGAACATAGTTAACGGGCGCTTCGAAATAATAGAGAACTTGTAAATGTAGATCTTTCATTGTTGGAGTAGTGTTATCTGATTCTTGAAGGTGTACTGAGTATATGCGGTATCTGTAGTCATTCGTCACGAATAAGCTGATTTTTAGGTTCAATGGGGCTCCCATCTACGCGGAATTGTGTCCTGTCACGGATTTTCGTGAGTCACGTTGCCGTCAGCACGAAGTGATTACATGTTCAAAAGGAGGTTTCTGCAACTTTATGCATCTCAAGGCTATCAGTCCCGCCCTCGGCGAAAAGCTCTTCGGAAGACGAGGACGAAGGTAGGTGTCAACTTTTTGCATCTCAAGTTATGTGTGCAGCTGTGGGTGGTATCAGACTGCATAATGAGAAAGTTACTATAACATTTCTTGATTTAACAAGGTTTTATATGTGAATTGCTACTTTCCATCTAATCAAATCAGGCGCTTTTGATTTTTATGTAAGTAGCTCGCCCGTAGATCCATATAAACACCTTAGTTTTGTGATAAATTTGACTTTTTACAACGGCGGTCTGTGGTCACATTTCCTTTCGAAAAAAATCTATATTTGCGTAGCCTGTGAAGCGACAAACAACGTTTTTCTATACAAGTTTTGAAACGTATTCGATCATAAACTTGCACAAAGCTTTTGAATGTTTGTACTTTTATCGGTGATTCACCCTAGCGTCAGAATCTTTTGTCCGAAACTTCTCTGATATTTTCCTTTTATCATATTGAAAAAAGCTACTTAATCTTCTCTATCAGACAGTCTATCAAAGGCTGTTGGCTGGGTCATCTTATGAATGGAATCCCATTTATCGTTGCAGGGCTGACTCCGCTGGGCATTATCCATCGATGCGTGGCAGCAGTGGCAGAGACCGCGATCGCCATGAGAGAGAAAGAAGACGCGACCGCTCACCATACAGGGAGAGAAGGCGCAGCCGTGATCGCAGACGTTATTGAGATGAGCGTGCTTTAATGTTATGTTTATACAAATTTATCTTCCCCTTTTCCCACCTGACATGTTCTGTGGTAATGAATGTTGATTTTGGGATAATCATAACAGCATTGTATTCATTTTTGGGATCACTGTTAGTCATATATTGTAGATATACTGTTTTGTTGTATTGCAAGTATCGAATAAATTTCTATGTCAAGAATTGTTCAGTTATGGGGTGTGGGTGTTCACCTTGTTTATCTCTTTGTGAATTGAAATCTTCCTTGAATATTAATGTAAATTATCTAGATGGCAACGTCCAATTTTCCTCACAATAAAAAGAGGACGTTATATGTAGGAGGTTTTGGTGAAGAAGTGAATGAAAAGGTGAGTTTGGTCCACATAGCAGGACACACGCAAATATTGATGCTTTCAGGTGCTTATGGCGGCTTTCATCACATTCGGCGATATCGTTGCTATATCTATTCCAATGGACTACGAATCAGGGAAGCACCGAGGGTTTGGGTGAGTGACCAATAATTATCAATTTTGGTTAATATTTTGAGTCATCTCAAATCTTTCAGCTTTGTCGAATTTGAACTCCCTGAAGACGCGGCTGCAGCTATCGACAACATGAATGAAAGCGAGCTTTTTGGTAGGACGATCAGGTAGGTCGTAAAAAATCCATTCTGTAAATTTACGAAATTTGTTCTCTCTTCGGAAAAGACCAAAGGGCATTCGATGTAGGTGTTGTTTAACTTCTCAGATCAACTGGTTTACTGAAAATGAATTGATTCTTTCAGATGCAACTTTGCCAGGCCGCCAAAGGCAACTGAGCGATCATCTCGTCCGGTTTGGGCAGATGATGAATGGCTCAAGCGGTATGGAAAAGGAAGTGGTATAGCAGATGCGAAAGACAGCGATGATGCGGCATCAACAGCTAAAGGACTGCCTAGAGTATATCTGGGTGTAAAAATTGGAATAAGGTGCGTCAGATCATTGTTGAAGAAGGTATGCTGAGTTTGTTTTCTTGCAGATACATTGGACGAATAGTAATTGAGTTACGTAGTGACGTTGTGCCACGAACAGCAGAGAATTTCCGTTGCTTGTGTACCGGTGAAAAAGGATTCGGATATGAAGGTGAGTTTCATTGTTTATATAAAATATATTTGGTTGGAGATTGAAATTGCAGGTTCATCGTTTCACCGAATCATCCCGAAATTCATGCTGCAGGGCGGTGACTTTACAAAAGGCGACGGAACTGGCGGAAAATCAATTTATGGACCAAAGTTCGAGGATGAAAACTTCAAGGTGCACTTGTCACGTTGGCTCATAATTACAGATTGTTACAGCAAGAGTCACTAGCAAACATTTCGTAGACGATCTGTTCAGCAACTTTTTTTTTCAGTTGAAACACGTCATGCCTGGTACGGTATCCATGGCAAACTGCGGTCCAAACACGAACGGCTCGCAGTTTTTCATTTGCACGGAGAAAACGGATTGGTTGGATGGGAAACATGTAGTATTTGGTCATGTAGTTGAAGGCATGAACGTGGTTCGACAAGTAGAGCAGCAGGTAGTTGTAAATCAATAGAAGATCAACCAAAGAGTTTATATCGAGTTATCTTTAGGGTACGCCATCAGGAAAACCACAAATGGTAGTGAAAATAGTAGAATGTGGTGAGTTGGAACCAGCGCCAGTTGCCGCTGTTGATAATGACAATGATAATGACATTGGAAGTGTGGACCCAAGCCACATGGAAGTTGAAAACCCGCCGGAGAAAGAAGCTTCTGCATAGTTCGAATTTGTACAGAACCGGTCAGGGATGTTTCGGATCTTGCACGTGTATTATGTACTTTTTTGCTTGTTTGATTTTGTTATCGATAACGTTGTTACTTCATGTATATGTAATAAACAGATCTCAGTCAAAAAGCTTCCGTTCTGCTCACCTGGTTACAGACCTCTCATACTTGGTACATCTGCTTTTTTTGCACCTCACGCGTTTCGTGGGTTCTATCGTTTCGTACATGTTCAGAATGGGAAGTAAAACAGGAGGCAATACCGAGCCTATGCCATTTGTGCGGAAGTGGGGCGCAGCAGCAGCGGCCTCCGCCAATGGTTCAGAAGAAGGTGTCATGAATGGACCTCCACCTCCACCTCCAGAAAGTAAGTCACTCCAAGTTGCAAGTAAGATTTTACATCAATGACATATCCAGTCTCACAATGATATGGTTGTTGAAATTGATATTAGTTTTTTTTAACTTCATTTTCTGCCCTTTAACATAATCTCATGGTCAGTCCAGTTTCAGGCAAATCTGCTGGTTTACAGCTTTAGTTTCAGGTGCAACATCAGATCATGATACCTCGACACATTCAAATCGTGATCGCAGCCGTTCTCGTTCACGCGATCGCAGAGAACGCAGAGAACGTCGTAGACGATCGCGGTCTGGAGATCGTGATCGCCACAGAAGGCATAGAAGTCGTTCCAGAAGACGTAGTAGATCGCGGGACAGGAAACGGTCAAGAAGTAGAAGTAAAGGTCGCTCGCGAGATCGTTCCCGCGATCACTCGTCGCCGGTTATTACTGTCCCACCTGCACCCATCCATAAAGAACCGGTCATAAATCCTTTGATGAGACCTGAAATTGGTAAGTTGTAAGAAGATCTTTCTGTTTTCTTTTTATCATAAGAATTCACCTGTTTAGCGCTAGCTGGAGCGGATGGAGTTCCGGGCAGTGAAAATACACTGACAGAAAGGAAGCGCGAGAGGAAGTCACGTTGGTCGGTGACTAAGAGTTTTGTACCAGGAATGCCTACAATCTTGCCGTCCAACTTAACAGACGATCAGAGGACCGCCTATCTTCGTGAGTATTATGCATATTTTTTTCCATTTTTTTGGTAAAATCTTTTTATATTGCAAATATATGTAAAATATATATAAACTAAGAGATACGTGGAGATTTTGGTAAGTTAGTGCAGGTACGTCAGTCTTTCATTCTGTTTAACTTTTTAAAATGATCATCTGGGAAATTCACGATCTTGCTGAAAAGGCATGAACATGAATCATCTGTTACACTTTTTTTCTAAAAACGGTAGGGTTTGCTTTCAAATGGTGTTGCGAAAGAATCTAGAAGAGTGAAGTTTAATCCATACATATATTTAATCTAAGTTTCTGGTATTTGAAAGCGAAGTCAAACTTTTCAAAATTGTTCTTCCAGCTATATGGCTGGCTTTCTTGCTTGTTCTTTCAAGAATGCATCTTTTGCAAATGTTAAAAAATTATTATAATTACGCATTTTTTCTTTTATCATTTTCTTTTATTAGTTTTATTGTATGTATGATGTGTGTTTATGCTGATACTAATATTCTCCGCGGCTTGGCCGTGATTTCAGTTCAACTGGAGATCGAAGATGCAACGCGAAAGCTACGTTTGGGCGATTTTCTTGGACCAGCTGATCCAGCGCAAAGGCTAGTCGCTAGAAGTGGCAAGACACTATGCTCACGCGTTTCAGTGACAATCCACATGTGACAATCAAGCCTTGCACGTGTTGCCGTGCCATTCATGGTACGGAACGCGTGTATGGCGATCGCCTCGTGCGGTGTGCTCTCGACGTGTGACAGAGAAGTGTTTCCGCTTTGATTTTTTATTATTTGAGAAATGTCAAATTTCTAGAGCTCAGCTATGTTAGAAATGATTTGTGTTGGTTGGGTTGGGCGGGGCAATCGTAAGTCCGCTGTATTTGAGATTGATCGAACATTCGATTCGAACGCAGTCTTTGCTGCCATTTAAGCTCAACAGCCCCTTGTTTAATCGTTGTAATCAATTTAATTTCAATTTCAGGCGATCTTTTGCACCCACTACGTTCTTTCGTGTTGTTTTGATATGAATCGTGAACCATGCTAATCCTAATCCTAATCGTAATGTTTAGCGTTTAGATCATGCAGAACCGCAAGCGCCTATGGATGCGTCATCTATTTAATGCAAACTTTTTTCAGCTGCACCACTTAACCCTAATCAACCATTTTAGCTCTTTCGACGTCCCAGCTGCGACATAGAAATCTGCTAAAATTCATTATAATAACATATAATCAGCTAAAATACTCGAAAGGAAGTCTTCTTTCTTGCTACATTTTCCATATTCAGAAGTCCGTCACCTGAGCCGATCTATGACAGTAATGGCAAAAGGCTGAATACAAGGGAGGTACGAAAGCGGCAAGAACTTGAGCAACTGCGGCACGAGAAAATTCAAGCATTGCTGAAAATTAATCCCAACTTCAAACCACCAGCAGACTACCGGTTGGTATCGCTGTTTTTTCTTCGTATTGATGCTCAATCTGATAGGATCTATGTTATGTTTATAGCGCTCCAAACATTCGGCTACATGACAAGGTATGGATACCGCAAGATGCTCATCCTGAACTCAACTTTGTTGGTCTACTGATTGGACCTCGAGGAAATACGCTGAAAAGTCTTGAGGCAGAAACAGGAGCGAAAATTATCATCAGGTCAGTACAACATATGCTCACAACTTTACTTAATGTGTTACCATGATTTTTTGCTTTTAGAGGTAAAGGATCAGTTAAAGAAGGCAAGCTTGGCAGCAGGCTTGGCCCTATGCCAGGAGAAAATGAGCCTCTACATGCTTATGTCACTGGAACTGACCAGGCAACGATAAAGAAAGCTTGTGATAAGGTAGGGCGTTATTTTGTAGACGCTTTTATGTATTGAATTGCTTAAAGATTCGCTCAATCATTGCTGAAGCGACTGCTATACCTGATGGTCAAAATGAGCTACGGAAACTGCAATTAAGAGAGTTGGCTCTGCTGAATGGAACCCTTAGACCAGAAGATCTCGCCAGGTAAGACACTCTTGAACTTTACGCTTATTTGTTCCAATTCTTGTCTTAAGTGGTGCTCGTTGCTCCAATTGCGGATCTGACGAACACAAGACCTGGGAATGCCCAGATGCCCCCAATGTCACCGCTAAAGTGGTGTGCATGGCTTGCGGATGTAAGTTTTGAGTTCTACTGCCTAGCACACTTTTCAAGCCAATCTCTTTTAGGCGCTGGACACATTGCGCGTGATTGTAAAAATCCGCGACCTGGAGGAGCAGAAGCTGCTGGGGATGGTGGCATGGACGACGAATACTCTGCGCTTATGGAAGAACTTGGAGAACGACCAGCTCGCAATGCGGATGGTTCTATCCGAGGCCGTGGAGCAGCTACGTTCCGTGGCGCAACCGTGAGCAATCCTTGATACCTTCTTGATCTCGTTGTGTACATGTGGCATTTCAGAGAGGAACCAGTTTCTTCCCTCGCGGTGCTCTAACCAGTCAGCAGCCTGTCATAAGAGTCAACTTGAGCACAGCTGCGCAACAGAATGCGATGATGACAGGAATGATGCCTCCGCCACCGGGCATGAGACCTCCATATGGAATGACGCCGCCTACTGCTGACCCTTACCAACCTCAAGGATTCTTTGCCAGTCCAGGTGCTAGAGGACGTGGAGCTGGAGCTGCAGCATTCAGAGGGTGCGTTTTTCTACATTTGAAATCATTTGAAATCTGTCTGAAATTCTGTCCATAAAAACAGCCAAATGTTTTACTTACAGTGATGATTTTTCACCATTCAGAGGTTGGTATGGAGGAGCGACGTCGATGCCGTTACCGGTTCCACCACCGCCACCACCACCAACGGGTGGATTCCCACCTCCTCCCCCTCCTCCACCCCCAGCTCCACAAACGGACCTTTCAAGGATCTTATCGGCACCAGCTCCGCCACCTCCTCCACCTCCCCCACCCCAGCAGTAAAGTTTGCGGTTAAACTGTTATTATGTCGTGATTTCTATCTTCCTCAGTGACACCATTGTTAGCTTAGTGGATCTTTTGGGATCATGTTTGTTGGTAAAGAGTATAGAAGCGACAAAAATTCTAGATCGTTACGATTTTCGTCCAGTTTGTGATGATTCTATGCTCTGTCACCTCTACTGTAATGAGCAATTTGTTGCTAATGTTTATTTGAATAAATATCACCTCCTCCAATCTTTTGGTGATGTAGCTACACAGGAAGACTGCTTGCTACTGTATAATACGGTGATATCTCTGCTGATCAAAATATTGCATGCGTTTCCGTAACCGGAAGCCTGTCTATCGTTTTCTACAACAAAGTGTGGCTGTCCATTGTGTTAGAAGCTAGTTCGAAAAGAAACGACTTGATTTTTCACTCACAATCAGCTCTGAAGTTTACGTTCCTGTCCGCTTTCTTGCTTTTTGGAGTATTCATTCCGTGATTTTCCCATTAACCTGTGCTAGGAAAAACTGTGCAGGGAATTCTTTTCGTACTGTGAGATCTGTACTGATGACTAGTGGTCACCGTATCTTCGTGCTAACGTATCATCAGTCACGCGGTCGGCGATGGACATGAAGCGTGTCGAGTTTTGCCTTCTTTAGAGATGAGTAGACCAGGAGCTTGGGCCACAGTTTGGTCAAATTTCTTGAAGTATATCCGGAAGGATTGGGCGACTAAGGTATTTTTGTTATCTTCTTGCACTTGAAAAAAAGTGTAAGCTTTTCTCTCAACTTCTAGAAAGGGTTTGACATTGGTTAGAAACGATATTTTGTACCACATCCATGACAAGTCCTTTTCGATTTCTGCCATTTCGAGGCAGAGCGTTATCTTGCAGAGTTAAAGCGTTAATGTGCAGTGGTTGTTTGCAAGATTCAAAGGGTACCCATCAGCTACTACTCTACCTGAATGTCATTAAACATGTGCCGAAGATCCATTAAGTTTTATTAAAATTTGCAATAGGCAAATGTTCAAAATGTGAACATCGGTTTTTATGTTTAGCTGTTTAGCACTACGTTGGAGAAGATCACGTTGGTCATCGATATTACGAATTAGTTAATACTCGTCAGAATGTTACCAGGTAAATCACATCAAGAATTTATTTCAGATCTAGCGCACTACGTATTGCTAATCTTTGAATAATTGATAATCCTTTTCTTCAGAAATTAGTAGGAGCTCGTTTCTGCCTTTCTCACTCTATATTGTTGTTACGAGAAATCATCGAACCTTTTAAAACTTATGACTTCTTCATTATTTGTAAAAGATGTTTATCTGGATCATGATTCTGGTTCAGAGGGTTTGATCCGCCTCGGAACAAACCCGACTCACAACCCGGAGTGGAGTGGCAGTCTTGGCTGAAGGGTACGCGGCGGTTCCCACCATCAGACCAAGAGCTGGCATTGAATCAGATGAGAGGGAAAGTATGTTTTCTAGTAATTTGATTCAGAAACGTGATATATATCGTTTGCCGCGACTTTTATGCTTACCTTGAGTGGCATGGTTGATTTGGACTTCTCTCCGAGTACGAAAGTTCTTAAAACATGTCCGCTGTAATTCCTTGCTGCTCATCATGAGTTGCACTAGTACCTCGCTTGAAACTGTTCATTTCTGTTTTTTAGGCACAACTTGCGCAAAATACCGTGACAGAAAAGCGAGCACCGCGCATAGATACAAAGGATCCCCCTCCGGACAAAGATAAGCCGGCGCCATTCCCAAAATACGACGACATGGAGTCAGCGCCTGGGGTGAAAAAGGGCGATTAAACCTCTATATAGATTTATATAGAATTAGGAATTTGTAATTTTTGTTTGTTATAAGAGATTTACTGACATTTGCTATCAGAATAGGATGTTCGATTGTTTTACTGATAAGTAATCTTGACAGCATACGCTTATCGAACACCGTTTTACCCTATTATACATGACGCTCACTCGAATGTTCATGAGAGCTAATCGCAGCTCGTCTACTCGAATTAGTTCACTGAAAATGAATCATATTTATATTGCGTCAATGGATCTTGTGAAGCAGCTTTTACTAGCAGAATCACTTTATTTAACATTTTCAAATGTTTCACGATTGCAGGGTGCTTACCACATCTCTAGAATTGGTGCGGAAAACAAGCGCCCTATCACTTTTTGGGCGTCTCGGCTAGTAAGAAACTTTGCAAATCACTTTAAAAATTCCTTCAATGAATTCAACGCTGAAAACTCAATTGTGTATCTGCGGGCTATCGTGGTAAGAATCCAGTATGATCTTCTCCTTACTTGAGTAAATTGACGAGTACTGCTCTTACGGGATTTTTGACTTCCAGCGTTCAAGAGGTGGCTGCGGTTATGATCACAGAAGTTCTCTATTGGCAATAAATTCTTTATTTCAAGCACTGTCTTGCTTGTTAATTGGAACGCCATGACATAGTTTGTCATGTTCTTTTGTTCTGCTGTTAAATTGTGATAAGACTGCAACATGTCGCGTGGCTCTTTTAAATTCATTCACCTTCTAATGCCCGTAATTATAGTGGAGCCTTCAGCTGAACGATACCGAAAGGAGGTCTGAAACCTCAATTTAGGCGGCAACCAATAACTTGCGCTTATTTGCAACGTCACTACTACTGCGTTTTCAAAAGGAGTCAGGTGCGCGTTCTTCGCTTTTTGACCAAGCTCTGATCTAGTGCTGTCCGAGTTTTGAAGTAACAGATGTGTGTTTCTAAATTGGTTCTTCATTAGTTTTTACAGACAAACTCCTTGTTGGGACTTTGAAGCCAGTCGGGTCATACGGTGAATCTAACTTGCACTCGTTTCCGTTTTAGTAAGTTTTCCGCGTTTCCTCACTTTCTTACAGCGAAGCTCGTTTACATGTTCTACAGAGTAGAAACGTGGCGATTATGCAGAAACACATAGGCGAGGCAGCATGCATTTTCTTCGCTGATCATGTTCTTAGTGGTCGTGACTTTATTGTCCATTGCAACGAGCTGCTCTGCTGAACAAACTTATGATGCAGTTTCTTCGAATGATGCTGAGGTGAAGTTCATCAACTTCTTGGATGTGGAGAGCTTCGCAAAGGTACGCTTGGTTACTGGATTATAGAGTGCAGAAGGCACTTTTCTCCTACCGTAGCCAAAATTAGGCGTAAAACTAATGTTGACTGGAGAAACATCCGAATTTACGCCAATAAATGTGCGCGGCGGTATGGGCGTGCTTGCTTGGCATTGCTTCATCATTTAGTCAGAGTAGGGGGACTTTTTCGGCTAATTCAGTTGTATTTCGCGTATTAATGCTGTCCCACTTTGTCTTGCCCGTTTTTCAGAGGGAAAAAGTTAGCTGCTTGCGATGACTGCCAACGCAGACGTTCTGACTTGTGAACACTAAGTACATATCGAGATCAGAAGGCTTCATAAAGCTATAGAAAGGGAAAGCTAGCACCCACGGAAATTTTCTGGAATTGGCTGCTGCGAGGACGTGCCATCGATAGATTTCTGGCCCTTTTATAGGCAATGATACTTAGCCCGATTTCATTCTCCACTTCTATGTGTCATTTTTTTAGTTATACGCAGGTCCTTGTCTTTATTGTCGAATATGCTCCTAACAAGAAATATGAGTGAGCTTGGCTCTCTTTCCGTCGACACTATGACATCGTTTGAGTTATTCAAAACCCGTAGCTCAGAAACAAAGAGATAAAATAGAGTTTACACAAATCCGGACCATATCAAAAAGACGATATCTACACACAAAATCAAAGATTTGACAAGCCAAGTATTTACAAGAAGTTCAGGTTTACCAATTATGTGCATTCATCATAGCGTATAATTACAGCGCACAGAACTACTCATACAAATTCTTTCAAGTCGAGTGATAATTCCAGTCTCTTTTTTTCTTCTCCCACAATAGACGACTTTGACTGACTTTTCAGATATACTACTTTGCACCAAACCTAGCAGGGAACACAGGGAACATCTAAGCGGAAGTGCTACGATTTGCGCTGTACTTAGTGCCACTCTTGTCGTTTTCGGGTCTCAAATCATACCATTGACTCCTAGCTTCATGTGGAGGCGGGTTGCGGACTTTCGCCTGAATAAATTGAACTTCTTAAACCTGCTCGTTGCAGCATTGTTTTCTTTTTTTACTCTCTCAAGTTCATCCTTTTAATCAGCGAAATTCCGCAACCGCCTCCACACAAGTGAAGCCGATCATACCCGGCTATTTCTCTATTGGCTAGAAGATTAAGAGTAGAGAAAAACTTCGATGAAGAGTAAAGAAGAGTATCATCATGTCGTAAGAAGATCGTATGAGATCATAGACGGCAGCGTTGCGTAATAAGAAACAAATTTCAATTTAAAAGAGATGGAACGTGGGCTCAACATCTTTTGAGCCTGTTCAGGAAAGAAAAGCATGCAATAAAGATTCAAAAATTGAAATCTGCGACTACTGACACAAACAGTCCAGCTTGTCTTGAAGCACACTGTGCATTGCACATAAAATTGCTGTACAATATGAAATTGTCGATCTGCTCACTTACAATACATGGTCTTGTCAAATCATCTTGCCCCAGGACTGACGAGTGATGCGGAAACAATGTCGTGCAATGTTTATTTAAAGCTCCTGGCCGGTTATACTACTATTTTATCACCTCATTACAAGATTTTGGAGCGATTACATGCCTCAAATACTACCGCGTACATCAATAGCGTGAAGCTGCATGTTTCTGCAGTCAACATTAGTTTTACGCCTAATTTTGGCTACGGTAGGAGAAAAGTGCCTTCTGCACTCTATAATCCAGTCGCTTGGTTTTCATGCTTTTCTTTCGCTCGAGGTCTAATTGTAAGATTGCTTTTGAGAACGGCACTCATTTTTTCGTCATGTTGACGGGGAATGATTGCTATCATTGCAAGATAGTCCTGGAGAATATGGAGGCCATCAAGAAAGCTTTGGAAGAAGTTGATCCATCTCTGCTGTTTCTAGTGGCCAGTCATTTCCTCTTTTTTTTTTTCAAAAACCTAAATCTTGACGAAAAGAAACCTGCAGTTTTTGCGGATACTTGATTCCTTGATCGTATTTAACCAAAAAGGAATCAAGTGTCCGCAGGTTTAGAGGTTCTTCAACAGAGCTCTCTTACATGAACTATTCATTTATCAGTGAATTCCCAGATGGAGATTGAATCACCTGTAAACAAACCAATAAGAGACCAGCTGAAAGTTACTGCTATTCCTACTATCTATCTTTTTCTTGCAAATGTTCAGCCAATACTGTTCGATTTGGAACGCACTCCAGAGAACTTAGTACATTTTTACAAGGTATATCGTGTCTTTAATATATCTGAATTATTCATATGCCAGAATTTAGACCGTAACAAACGTTGTTGTTGAAAAAGTGGAAACCGAAGAAGAATTGAAGTCATTTAAGGTTGTGTTTAAGAGTGCCTAATTTTTTTATGACGAAAATTTCAGGACTCGGCTTATGCAGCTGTTTTATTTCTCGCAGATGAAGAAATTAATAATACCCACATTCTTTACAGTGTTGCAAGGCAAAATTATGATGTCCGTTTTGGATACACAATGCCATTGTAGGTTCACTTTTCGATAAGAGCCAGGCTTTTTATTTTGCAGTGATTACGTGCTGCTAAAATCATTTTGCAGTGATGACGCTTTTAAAATGTTCGATGACTGGATCAACGTTTTCCGTAAAGGGAAGCATAAGGCAGTCCCGATGCCAAAAAGAACTACAGAGGAGATTGAGAAGTTCATCAAGGTGAGTTTCTTGTATCTTTTTTGGTTCTTTGGCACATTGGTTAAGGTTATTTCAGATGCAAACTCACAAACCGTACTTTCACTTCCCTGCAATTGCTTATGCATTACCCGCTATGTATGAGGAAAATTACCTGTTTTATATTGACAACACTGCAGGCGTAGATGGTAAGTGGTTCCCTGCAGTAAAAATCTGTAAGAAATGTTGTGAGGAAGTTTCATCTTTTCAATACATGTTTTATAGAGGCGAAATCTTGGCTTGAAAAGCTAGGTGATGAAGGGCGTGGTGATCTTGTTGTCCTTTTGTGCGATTACTCGGATCCTGTTGCTCATCGGGCCCTCAAATATTTTGGTGTAGAGCCAGGCGATCCACCTAGAGTTCGTATCATTCAGAAAACTGAAAACAAGCATTTCAAGTATACTCAGATTCTCTTTCTTCTTCAACATTGTTCTGGCGTTACAGAATGGAAGATAATATGACTGATCCTGTGAGTGAGCAGTCTGTGAGGGAATGGTTGCGAAGATTCAAAAATGGGACTTTGAAACCAACTATTGAGTCGAAGTTGCTGCCCCCGGATTGGGATCAGAAGCCGCTGAAGATTGTAGTAGGATCTACTTATGCCAAGGTTAGGTGGAATTTCCCATAGTAGCCTAGAATCACATCGATATTATAGGTAGCCAATGATACATCCAAGCACGTATTTGTCTTGCTATATGCACCAGGGGAAGAGCGCAGTGATCTTGCACTGAAAAGTTTCCAAGAACTTGCGGAAAAGTACAAGAACTTTGACGATCTGTTCATCGCTAAATTTGACGTTGATAGTAACGAGATCCCGCATGAATTTCTACCAGTTGACAGTGTTCCTGCAACGAGGTTCTATCCGGTAAGGTCTTTTCTAGTGAGAGAGGAAAAACATAATTATGATTGCTCTCCATCTTTTATTGTGTAACGCAGCATTTGTCACAAATGGCAAGTCATTCTCAGACAAATGGCCGGAACTTCCGCAGAGCGTTTGCGGAAGTTCCGCCGGGTTACCTGCGGAAGTTCCGCAAACGTGCTGCGGTCCGAAATGAGGTCCAGCGGAAGTTCCGAAGAATGCCAACCACAACAGCAAAAGAGAGCACCGAAGCGAGATTTGAACCTCATTCTATTGACTGTGAGACCCACCTACTATCCTCTGCACTACGGCTGACATGTTCGATAATGCGCTCTAGTTATTGGCGAGGCAGCATCACGAGGCAACACATTCAAAGTCCTGCGGAAGTTCTGGTAGACCAAAGTGCTGCGGAACCTCTGGCATTTTTCGGAATTTCCGCAGGATTTTGAAGAAGGTTCTGCGGAAGTTCCGGTTTTCAACCTGTTTGGCATGTAAATCCCTCGGAAGCTCTTCGCAATAGTGAACAAAACCCTGCGGAACTTCTGCAAATTTGGCTTGTCCTGCGGAAGTTCCGGTGATTTGTCTGAGTTAGTGCAAAGGGGAAATCGTTGGGGCTATATAGTGTGTACAGCCTAGTACAGTCCGTGTCAGTCACGTGGTCTTTTCCGTAAACGCAATGAGCCTCGCGCCACGTTCGCGCGCGTATGACTCGGGCATTCAAATAAGCCTCATCGATTGGAGGCCGCACTCACGGCCATTGCGTTGCGCATGCTTAGTTTCCATGTAAAAGTTAGTACGTAATCGACGTTGACTGTAGACTTAAAGGCAGTGTTTAAGCAAAAAGTCGATTTTGAGATTTTGTGCTTACCCCTATTCGCCTTGCTGATTCCGTTAAACCGCAATGGAGAGCGCGCAAACGCCAAAAAAGGACCTAACACAGGAGGGAAATCGCAGGTGGGCGGGGCCGTTCACACCGCGACGTCACTTTCCTAGGCTTTAGGAGCGATCTTCTGGGTTCCGATTTTATGCCATGCGTTTCGCAGTTGGGTGGTGATGATATTAGTGCTATTAGCGGAAGCGAGAAGATCGCTCCTGAAGCTGGGAAAGTGACGCCACTATGTGAACAGCCCCGCACACCTGCAATTTCCCTCCTCCGTTAGAGCTTTTTTCGCCGTGGGACTTTTTTCGCCTTTCGGACGAAATGGGTCGCGAGGTTTTTGAAAAGTCACCTACATGAGTTATAAAAATGTGCAAGTGACTTGTCTACATTGTAAATAATTAGGATAATCTTCAAAAATTTTCAAGAACTCAAGTTAGCCTTGTAAAGTAGATCCGGGTTATGAGCCCGCCGAAATATCGGGAGCATTTAGAAAATTTTCAAAACCTTTATTGTAAAAAAAAGTTTTTTGTCCTTCCCCTCCCCCCTCCCCTCCCGAGCGGAAATCCTGGGACCGCTACTATAATACAGTGCTCTTGCGTTGCCTCCACGTCAGCTCCCAAACGATTTCAATGTGCTGCAACAAGTTGTGCTTGACAAAGTCTATTTCCGCGCAGATGTTGTTGTCACCGTAGGCACTTATTGAGCGTCAGACCCACTAGGCTGTATGTACAAAATCTTCATGGTTCTACCTTGAACAGTGTAAAAGAATTGTTTTTATATGAAGGTTATTGGTTTTTGAGCTAGAAAAAGAACTAGTTTGTTGCTGGAAACTTTCTTTTGCCACTATATAACACTATTTGAACGTTCCAGAAAGGCGAGAAAAAAGAAATGCAATACACCGGTGAACCAACTGTAGAAAGTATGGTGGAATTTCTCGAGCAACATACTGGATATGTTCCGAGCATTGAGAATGAAGAGCCCAAAGAGGAAGGCGATGATAGAGATGAAGACAAGCATGCTGAACTGTAATTTTGATGTTCTATGATGTGTAGGCACCTTGATCACTGATGGGAAAGGAATTATGGAATGTGTCTTTTTGTTGTTGTTGACGTTTTTGTCTTTTTTTTTGCAATAAAAGATTGAAATAATCTTTGGGTCAAATGTTGCCAAAGTATCTAATCTTGATGGCTACCACTTTCCTAATTGCTCTATAGAAATGATCCTAAAATCAATCCTATACGCAGAATTTTGTCTTGCCGTCTTCTGGATAAAAGGTGACTTTCGCCTTCTGATCAATTTTTTAAATTCTAATTCGTGCTGCATATCCATCTGATGTGCAAAGTGTATAACGAATTCAGTATTCCAAAGAAGATTTTAGGAAATGCCTGGCCTCCACAAAGTGCTGCAGGGAATTGTGAAGTTCCGAAACACAGCAAGACCAGACATGGTAAGATATTAGGTTGAACCGAAAGTTCTGTCCCTCCATTTTCAAAAATTCGTAACTTCGCCAGATTTCAACGGATTTGCTTGCTCGTAATTTTATTAGAAAGAATAGATCTTCCGCTTTCAAGCCCTGTTTTGCGGAGCTTCTGTTTCACACTGAGTGCCGAGATAAAAATGGAAAACTAAGACCATGTAAACTTTGACCATTTTAAGTTAGGTCACCAAAAATCTGGAATGCTGCAGAAAAATCTGAAATCGTCAGTACATATGTTTTTTGGCCTACCCTTTGCATCTGTGAAAAGTTTGTGTTGTTTGGACATCTCTGTGAGAAGTTATGAATATCGAGTTTACTATGGATAACGCCAAAATTAATTAATTTGGCAATTTTCGTGAAAATCATAACTTCTCGCAGAAACGTCCAAACAGCGCAAACTCTTCACAATTGCAAAGAGTAGGCCAAAAAACATATGTACTGACGATTTCAGATTTTTCTGCAGCATTCCAGATTTTTGGTGACCTAACTTAAAATGGTCAAACTTTACATGGTCTTAGTTTTCCATTTTTATCTCGGCACTCAGTGTGAAACAGAAGCTCCGCAAAACAGGGCTTGAAAGCGGAAGATCTATTCTTTCTAATAAAATTACGAGCAAGCAAATCCGTGAAATCTGGCGAAGTTACGAATTTTTGAAAATGGAGGGACAGAACTTTCGGTTCAACCTAATATATTCTCGCCATATGATATTGTTGCTGATTTTTTGAGTTGGGCCTATTCGTGCTTGTGGTAGTGAATCTTGCGCCTTGTGCAGATTAGAAAAAAGAAATTGGGAATAGCATTCTTACTATGACTGTAATATTCTTACTGAAGGGCCTCCTTGTGAGAATTGAATTTTTATATCAAAATGAGACAATTTTATAGATGGAATTCTGGCGCTATTGCATGCATTTTTATTTTATCGTATTTGAGCTTCTCTTGAGTTGTTATTCCTATCACTGTGTGCCAGGTCAAGCAGTTCGTGAAAGTTCGAGAAAATCCACAACCGACGGCTGTCTTCTTTTCATGCATGGATTCAAGAATGTTTCCTGCAAGGTGTTGTTCCGTTATTCTTTAGTCTTGTCGTTTCTATTGTAAAAACACACGGCTGTATACTGGAAACTGCAAGACGACACAAAAGCAGAATTTTTAGGTTTACATCGTCTCAAGTTGGAGATATGTTTGTGGTGCGAAATTCAGGTAACATGATCCCGAATGCGAATAATTATGGTAAGTCATCCGCTCAGTCACAGTCTATGGCCCTGGGCGTACCTCACGCGACTTCAGTCGCGAAGCAATTTGGCAATGCTCCAATTGTTCATAACTCGTTGTGAGGGTTTCTGAATGTAAGGAAAATAGGGCATTTTATCAGCCTATGAAAATTATACATGCTGTGCATTTGGGGTCTGCCAATATTGAATTTGAAGATATCTGGCAAATTACCGCATCGCGTGGCGACTGGAATTGCGAGAAGTATGAACGCGGCCTATCACATTTGACTCTAAGATAGTGTTCATGCGGTGACCACAACATTTGCGCGAATGCAAAGGCCGCATTTAAGAGTGCCATCAACTTGCTTGTGTCTTGTGCGTGCTATTTCACGCGCACTATTGTCGGCACCGCTAGAACAATATATTCGTCAATCTATCAGGCTATATAATTTTTGTTGTACATCAATCTCGTAGGACCTTATGGATACGAAGTTTCGGTCACGACAGAACCTGCAGGCTTAGAGTTAGCCGTCAAAAGAGGTGGCATTAGGCACGTGATTGTATGTGGACATTCTGACTGCAAAGCCATCAATACGCTCTATCGACTACACAAACGTCCCAGTGATTTTGATCCCAACTCGCCTATGGATCACTGGCTTCGAAGACATGGATATACATCTCTGCAAAAATTGGAAAAGCGTCTGAACGACAAAACTGCGGGACCGCTGAAGTTCATTTCGGACAATCCAGCTTTCAGGTGGGTTGAGTTGGGATTTTTGGGATCATCTGCAGGATGATTGATTGCAGCTTTGAAGCGATCATTGATGAAGAGAACAAATGGAATGCAGAAGATAAGTTGTCTCAAATCAACGTTTTGCAGCAGCTGGAGAATTGCGCTACTCACGGTTTTCTAAAGGTGGGACTCTTGTTTTGGAATTTCTCACATTCGAGAAAAATATTGCAAAATCTTTTCTTGAATTTTCCTATTATTGTGATCTAACTGGTCAGTTTTAGGAATTTCTAGATAAGAAGAAGGTCGATTTGCACGCGATGTGGTTTGACATCTTTGGTGGTGAGATGTACCTTTTCAGTAAGCCACGCCGCAAATTTATAGTTGTGAACGAGGAGACCGTGGATGAGCTGGAGGAGGAAGTAAATGTACACAAGGCCTGATTCCTTGTAGTACTCATATAGGTCACTTTTTTTTTTGAAAATTACCATGTTTTCATTCATCTTATTGTTGTTTCTGTTTCATTCGTCCAATCTTTGACATTTTTATACATTTTTTTCTTCTACGGAAAGTTTTATTTTAAGACTTTAGAACTGCTTTTGGTTGGTTTAGGTGTCTAGTCTTCTTGCTCAGTTTGTTACTTACCTCACCTCCTAATCAATCATTAACCATTTCAACGCTTTTATTAATCACATTATTATGTTTCCTACCTCTTACAAATTTGCTCAGACTACCCGTAATCACTTACTAGGTACTTATTTCTTTTTTCTACCTCATCATATCTCATCTCTCCGGTCCCACAAAGTGCCTTGACAGTTTTAATTAGCCAAAAAAACCTTGTTAGTGATTGCCATATAGATTGTAGCATCATCATGTCCGAATAAATCTTGTACCTCTGATTTCTGTAGGTTTATCTGTTGAAACAGCTTTATATTTAACTGAATGCATAGAATGCGGATTATTCGCAATGTACACACCCACAGCAGCGCGTTCCAGGTGCAAGTAGTGTCCGCTTCTCAGCAGTTTGCATATCTGCAGACCATTAGGGTGGCTCGAATACGTTATTGAGTACCAGTATGTGTTGTAAGATAGTTTCTCTTTCATTTTTATTGCATCAATAAATCCGCGATCATTGTTTCAGAGCAAACCAGTATGGCGCGGAGAGCATGCGGACAAAGACCATGGCAGAAGCAGTCTTCATATTCCTTGCTGATCGTGTTTATCCTCCAAGCAAGTGGACAATCAAGTGAGCTGAAGCTTTTCGCTTTGCATCAAAATTAAGACTCAGGAAGCGAATATGTCAATGCTAAACGGTGGCAGCCATGATGGGCTTCAGCAGATAAACTATATAGACTATCGCCTATCAAGCACTTTTTGTGTCTTTGAAATAGCTCTTTTTAACTAAGGCATAGCCAGTTAGCCCATTATCGCTCAATGCTGAAAGGGGCGAACACGTGTTATCCAACCAAGCGTCTGATAACGCGACTAGCTGGGCTGGCGCAAAGGCCACTGCGGAGTCTACAGTATGGGCCAGCATCGTCTGCAATACCGCTCGTATTTTTTGAAAAAAAAAGACGCAAAGGCGCCCAATTTGTGTGACATGACCGCAGCGCGGCCACGTCTTGCTTCAGATACGAATTCTTAATCCAGGGGCACCATTCGACTCAGCTCGGCGCGGCGCATCTGCTGATTTATATAAGTGCCCCCTTGGGCACAGTAAAAGGCCAGATTCCACGAATCGTCCCAGATTTGCTTACGGTAGGTTACTCTCTGCTTAATTGTACTCACTTGGTAATCTACCATAAGCAAAAATCTGAAACGATTCATGTAATCTGGCCTTCTACTTGCGCCGCGCTCAGTTGAGTCGATGGTGCCCCTGGATTAAGAATTCGTCCACTCTGAAGCGAGATATGGCCAAACTACGGTGATGTCACATGCAGGCGACTGCGCTGCTTCTTTCAAAAAATACGAGCGGTATTGTAGAACTTTGAAATGCGATGTCTTTGAGCAGTTTTCCAGAAGACTGATCAATATCGCGTTAAGCTATAGTGGAGTACAGTCGTCGTAAAAGTACAGAACAGCTGATGAAGGCATGTGGGCGGAAACTCCCTTTAAGCCTCTAATCATTGCATTACGTTTTTCTATGACCTGTAAGAGGCTGAAGGAAAAGCCGATTTTGTAGTGATTGCAGAGAAAATTTGAATGGTGAGCTTCTACGCTTGAGTGAGCAGGCATAGAGGGACTTACGGAGGAAAGTGGTAGATGCCAAAGAAAAAAAGGACTGTACAGGAAGACTAAAGTTTCAAAAATTGAATACAAAGCGGAATCTACGGCAAAAAAGGAGTACGGTACATTTGGAATGTCCATTCTAGTGAAATGTAAAAATTGAGCATAGTTGCGGTGAGTAGCACAAAGTTTTTTTGTAATGAAAAAACAGATTTTCGGGAGAACAGAATGAATTTTTGAGAGGTTCCAGCAAAAAGATTGAAGTGCTCCATAATTCTCGTAGATGTAATCCACAGACTACTGGATCCACAAAATTTACAGTGAGTTTTGAAAAAAAATGAAATAATGAAGGTAAAGTATGATAGGCGCTTTACAAATGTGTTTTTACTCAATCTATTATGAATGGTAAAACAAAATTATGCTGAATCAAATCTGAAAAACACAAAATGAGTAAGTGTATGAAAGCAGTAAAAAAACCAAAATAAGATTTTTTAAGCACATTAAAATTTTTTTCTAAAATTTATGGAATCGTACCAGCCAAAATTGAACTGCATTTATAGAAAATTTTCGAGAAAACCGGGTACAACTCAATTTAGATGAATACTTTAGTAGATGGCTGATTCGTTTATCTATGTTTAAAACCAATTAAAGTTGTGAAATAGTGGGAACGATGTAATGTTTATTAGGAAGACCTAATATGTCGATCGACAGAAGGCGTTGTCATATGTAGAAGTGCAGTTTGTTGGCTGTGCAAACGTGGAAGATTATTTTGTAAATCGAATTGATTGATAGGTGTCGTCTGTCGTCGATTCTCTTTTTGCTGATGCATATGGCATGCACGGTCTATAGAATCTGAAGTTAGATTTCTGTAGAAATCGTGAGCATTTTTTGACGATACATGATTATTTATCTCGTTATCTGCCTATCTTCATAAGTCTCTTAAGAACAAAATTGTGGATTTTGTAGCTGTTTTTGACTATAGTATGCTTTAAGATCGTATTTATATTTTTCTTAAACCGCATTTTCTCGAAAGTCGTGCTTCATGCTTTTCAATTCTCTTTCTTTGATTTTGTCTTGATTATATTCCATATTTTGCTTGTAATCACTTTCTTTTTTCTTTCGCAATCAAGTTGTGAAAATTTTCATTTTGCCATCAATAATTCCAAAGAAATTGTAGAAAAAAAAGAAAAAAATCCTTCAACGTGCAAGCGCTGATTTTAAGTTTTCTGTTGACAACTGTCAAGTGTCATAGGCTGGTACTTCGCACTTTAAGCTCATGTCGTCTATCCCACATGTCAAATATATATCCTCCTGACACACTGGTTCCTAAAGTTCAGTAACCACAATCGATGCAAATTACTATTTCTACTATTTTGATTCGGTTTGTTGAAATGTGAACAGAGTCTTTCTCATCTATAAAATCCAAAAAATTGTTTCCTTATCTATCTTGCGAAAAACTACGGTATTTTGGCAAGTAAGCAACAAATTGAGCGAATTTTATTGCCTCCTTTTTGTCCTTCTCGCTAAATTCCTCTGTTGTGTTTCACCTTCACAGCTTGCGCTATGTTTATGCGCTTTCCCACATCAAAATATTTTTTTCTCATTTGATAATGTACTTTTGATGCGACATTAACGGGCATATCAGTCTCACTTCTCACTTTTGCTCATCTTTTGTTATCGATCATTTGAAATTTCTGACAGGCGAACATTTTTGTTTTACATCCTAGTTAGGGTAATTCTACACATTTGCCCATCCATTTGTTTTGATTTCGTAATTTTCTGCGATGCGATAATGACCGCAAGGCTAATTCTACTGTTATTCTATTCTTGCTGTTATTGCTGTTATATTCAGTCTGCGCACATCATGTTTAGGAAAAAACGGAATTTTGTAATAAATATGCGATGGTATGATGGGTTAGGCGAATGATTTTTTTCCACGAAACAGTGGCAATAGTTTTCGAGCTGTAGCATTAAAATCAAAGACAATAGTGCAGTCATTATCTGTTTGTAAAGGTTTATTACATTTTCCGTTCTGCGCCATCAACTTTCCTGTGTAGAAGAAAATTTTCTGGCGGTTTTTTGGCAGTATTTTTGCTACAATATTTGGGATCTTGCAGAGTGCAGAAAAAACTTTTGCAGATATGGAACTTTATTCAATAATCACCAAAATGCCGCGAGAAAGCTTGCATACAAAAATACGGAACAATCCGTTAAGAGCCAGGCATACTTCACGCGATTTCATAGCCTCGCAATTCACCCAACAAGACAACTGCTACGAGTTCATTATGCAGCTCATCTTGCATTTCGTTGTGGTAGTTTTTCGGCACCACCAGTCGTGACTAACTATCTCAACAACCGAAACGCAAAATGATCGGCATGCAATGGACTCATAACTGTCGTCTTGTGGTGAATTGCGAGGCGATGAGATCACTGTGGTGAACTCTGTCCGAGGCCTTACTATTAGAAATAAATGTGGCTTAGTGGTTATCATTGTGCTGGCTTTCATAGACAATCACTCGGAAAATTCCTACCGTTGTTTCTTGCTCCAAGACAAATAGCTTTTTTTTAAATTTTATTGGTCGGCCTGAATGTTATTGCATCTGCGTAAGTTGCCGAGGTTTGGGATCCACACCTTGTGCAACTTATATAACTAACTTTGGAATTTTTATGCCGTGTCTTTGAAGGAAATCAATAATACGCAAGAATTAACATATTAGCTCGTTAAGTTTTGTTACACTTGCAGGAACAAAACGTTCATAAATTTCTTAAAAGATTTCTTCTAAACTCCAAATGAAGGTGATGTTTGTATCTTCTTAATATATAAGTGTCACACATGAAAAATCCAATTTTCAAGTTTTTTGAAATTTTTCTGAAATAAAAATGGCGAATTTCCAACTTGGGTTATTGAAGAGCCTAAACTTCTAAACTAACTTTATATTAGTGCTAAGATTCCCGCTAATCCATAAGAAATCTGAGGGCATAAAAAATGAGAATGAGGCAATTTCTGAAGGAAAAGGAAGAATTTATTTTTACGGTAATCTATTAGGTTGAACCGAAAGTTCTGTCCCTCCATTTTCAAAAATTCGTAACTTCGCCAGATTTCAACGGATTTGCTTGCTCGTAATTTTATTAGAAAGAATAGATCTTCCGCTTTCAAGCGCTGTTTTATGTAGCTTCTGCTTCGCACTGAGTGCCGAGATAAAAATGGAAAACTAAGACCATGTAAAGTTTGACCATTTTAAGTTAGGTCACCAAAAATCTGGAATGCTGCAGAAAAATCTGAAATCGTCAGTACATATGTTTTTTGGCCTACTCTTTGCAATTGTGAAGAGTTTGCGCTGTTTGGACGTTTCTGCGAGAAGTTATGATTTTCACGAAAATTGCCAAATTAATTAATTTTGGCGTTATCCATAGTAAACTCGATATTCATAACTTCTCACAGAGATGTCCAAACAACACAAACTTTTCACAGATGCAAAGGGTAGGCCAAAAAACATATGTACTGACGATTTCAGATTTTTCTGCAGCATTCCAGATTTTTGGTGACCTAACTTAAAATGGTCAAAGTTTACATGGTCTTAGTTTTCCATTTTTATCTCGGCACTCAGTGTGAAACAGAAGCTCCGCAAAACAGGGCTTGAAAGCGGAAGATCTATTCTTTCTAATAAAATTACGAGCAAGCAAATCCGTTGAAATCTGGCGAAGTTACGAATTTTTGAAAATGGAGGGACAGAACTTTCGGTTCAACCTAATATATCTGTGAAGGGGGCAATAATGCCAATAGATAGTCTTTTGTCCATTGCTCTTCTAGAGTTTTTTACAGGTGAAAAAAGTGTCATGAAACTTATGTTACGACCAGTAGATTATTTGACTTACATTTTCTTACGTCTGACATTATTTTTCTTGCGATCCATTGCAATTTTTTGTCGCTTTATTTCTTTGGGGTTTGGGGATATATTATTGCAAGCAATTTTAGAATTCAAAGGCATTCTAAAATTTGAGTGATCACTCAAAGAAACAGTCTGAATACGTAGATGCTGGAATGAGGGAGAGAAGCTGCCTCGAATCTTTCTAAAGTGCTTTTTGTTGTCTGAGAGCATTTTCATGACGACAACTTCGAATTCAGCATCATGATTGCTGAAGCTCAAAAGCTATAGCCCTAACCTCCGCAACGTAACACTTCTCATCACATCTAGTGGAAAGTGTAATCGGACTTTCTGGTTGATATATTTGAAATACATACCATTCTACTAGGAAAGCGGTCATAGTCGGTTGTGCGCAATCCGCGCTCAAATATCTTGCAGAATCAATGTCTGTGAGTAAGATTGTTTTGAGGCAGCGTCCAGGCAAATCTGGGCCTACGGGGATTTTACTTGGAGGGTGATCTTGGAGCCCTAACTAAAACACTGCACAAGCGGCAGCTCAAATAGTGAGCTCACAGTTGAGATAATCGCCTCCAAACCGGACCCCGGGATCGTATTCGCATGGATTCATGGCGCGACACATCAGTTTCGCGCGAACCACGCGTGTTGCGCCATGAATCCATGCGAATACGATCCCGGGGTCCGGTTAGGCGAATATCTCAACTTAGAGTTCACCATTTAATTGCCGCTTGGGCAATGTCTTAGTCAGGGCTCCAAAATTACTTTCCACATCAGAACCCCGTATGTCCGAACTTGCCTGAACGCTGCCTTTAACGGTTCATGCTCTTTTATGGAAGATGGCTTCCAAAAATCAACCGTTTATTGGAACTTGGTCACCACTTGATGTTGTATTTCAGGACATGTCCAATCTACAAAAGGTACTGCAAGGAATCGTGAAGTTTAGGAAAACTGGCAAAGCCGACCTGGTAGGTTCCTTGCTTGATAACGACTTTTCTTGGGTTTATGGAGAAGAAACATCACATAGTCCAGCAACTTCGGGAATATAGGAAGTTTCCTCGCAAATTCTCGCTTTCACGTTTTTCACCTTTTCGCCTTCTTGCCATGAGAAACCATATCTGCTCTTTTCACCGCATGAAAACGGCGAAGAGGAGCTTTTTTTGAAGCTTTCCTGCATTCAGTAGATATACCGAAAGTCTTTCGCCCCCCGCCTTCCTCGTTCGGGCCTCGCCCATTTACACGTATTCTCCACTGACTGCGCTCTTGTGAAGCTTATGATAAGCTCATTTTTGCTATTTTCATGCACTGAAAAACCCAGATATGGGTTGCTCGTGCCGAAAAGGCTCCGAAAAGGTGAATAACGGAAGACGAAATTCTGTCGAGACACTGTCTTTGAGTGATTCTGTTGAAGTTTTGGAAATGACATGATCACCATTGTTAGCGTGTAAAGCGTCCACAGTCCTTCTACCCGTACATATTACCCGCGTTTTTTTTGGGGTTCCAAACCAACCGTAACAGAAATAGTAACAGCTACCCTTAAATTAACGTGCTTTGGGCATTGAATGATTACTTTTTTCTAATCGCGCTTAGTTAGACTCTAGCTCGAAATCACGCTGACGGTATTTTGGTATTTATAGCAAAAATATGGTTTTTGCACTACCGCCTTGTCATCGCTTTGATTGGGGTGGATGCACGATTTTATTTGTAGGTCACTGCTTAGAGAAAAAGAATGTCTCCCGACCACCATGCACCTAGACCTTGTGTGTTGGAACGTGCCAGCGCCGTTTCAGCGCCATGCTGGAATGTCGATCGATTAATAGGGAGTATGTACGCATGGGCTCCGGCACTGCTCTGGCACAGCACTGAAACGGTGCTGGCACGCTCCAACACACGGTGTAAACGCTACATTAGCAATCTTCGTCCGGCGGCGACAGACTTCTTTGAAGTAGTGCACAGTAAGCGACATCTTATATATAAAGCTGAATGTCTGTTTGTATGTATGTCTGTCTGTCTGTCTGTCTGTCTGTATGTCTGTACGTATGTTCCGAATAGAAAATTCCATTTCTGAACCGATCCGGACCAAACTTGGCACACATACACTTCGGGCCCCGGCGGATGTCATAGGCTACTTTTCGTCATCGATCGATATCGATTTTATCGATTTTTATCGAATTTTTTGCTGAGTTCACCTACGGGGCTGGGAGTTGGCACAGGGGGGTAATCGAGCATGGGGATTCCGAATACAATATTGGTTTTCAGGATTATCGATTACTTTTATCGATTTTATCGATTTTTTTGCAAAGTTTGAGCTACGGGGCTGGGAGTTGGCACAGGGGGGTAATCGAGCATGGGGATTCCGAATACAATATTGGTTTTCAGGATTATCGATTACTTTTATCGATTTTATCGATTTTTTTGCAAAGTTTGAGCTACGGGGCTGGGAGTTGGCACAGGGGGGTAATCGAGCATGGGGATTCCGAATACAATATTGGTTTTCAGGATTATCGATTACTTTTATCGATTTTATCGATTTTTTTGCAAAGTTTGAGCTACGGGGCTGGGAGTTGGCACAGGGGGGTAATCGAGCATGCTGATCACCCCCAAGGGGGGTGATCAGCATGCTCGATTAAACCCCTGTGCCAAATTCCAGCCCCTAGCTCAAATTTTCAAAAAATCGATAAAATCGATAAAAGTAATGGACGATCTTGAAAACTAATATTGTATTCGTAATCTGCATGCTCGATTACCCCCTGTGCAAACTCCCAGCCCCGCAGGTCAAACTTTACAAAAAAATCGATAAAATCGATAAAAGTAATGGACGATCCTGAAAACTAATATTGTGTTCGTAATCAGCATGCTCGATTACCCCCTGTGCAAAATCCCAGCCTCGCATGTCAAAATTTACAAAAAATCGATAAAACCAATAAAAGTAATAGATAATTCTGAAAACTAATATTGTATTCGGAATCCCCATGCTCACTTCCCCCCCCTGTGCCAACTCCTAGCCCTGTAGGTGAACTCTGCAAAAAAATCGATAAAAATCGGTAAAATCGACATCGATCGATAACGAAAAGTAGCCTATGACATCCGCCGGGGCCCGAAGTGTATGTGTGCCAAGTTTGGTCCGGATACGGCGGAGCCGGGTAAGCCAGCTAGTTACTTATATTTGCCTGCTTTGTGAGCCTCTGTACGCATGGAAGAAATTCAGTGTTGGTCATTTGAATTGTATTTTTTTTTATTTCTCTAAAAAATGGGTATGACATGTGCAAAAAGAGCCACGCGAATTGAGAGAAGAGTGGAAATTGACTTTCGCTTTGCATCTTTCGTAACCATTGTGTTTGAGAAAATTGTTCAAGAAAAAAAAAGATGTCTAATAAAAGGTTGTTGTAATGCTTTTGGTTTTTTTTACAACATAACGTGCTTCTGTCAGGTGAAACAATTTGTGAATATACGAGATACCCATGCGCACCCGGGTGCAGTCTTCTTCTCATGCATGGATGCACGAATGTTTCCAGCAAGGTTTTTAGCCAATTATTGTAGATCTAGACTAGAATATTTGTAGCTTGAAAAATTCTAGAATTAGTACTCAATTTTGGACCGTTGACAGATTGTTGGAAATATTTTTTTTTCTAGGATCACATCGACGCAAGTTGGAGACATGTATGTTGTTCGTAATCCGGGCAGTATGATCCCTAGGGCGGAAAATTATGGTAATATTTCCTGTTGTGGATATCGATGAAAATACTTTAAAAATGTATTTTCAGGATCTTGCGGATGTGAAACTTCTCTGACGACCGAAGCTGCGGGACTGGAGTTAACGGTGAAAAGAGGTGGTATCAAACATGTAATCATATGTGGCCATTCCAACTGCAAAGCCATGAATACCCTCTACAATCTCCATAAAAATCCAAAGAAGTTTGACGCAAATTCCCCGTTGGATCTCTGGATTCGTGAGCATGGCTTCTTATCGTTGAAAAAACTTGAGGAACGTTTGGCTAGCAAGACCGTGCAGCCACTGAAGTATTCAACACCTGATGGAGCTTTCAGGTATATTTGAAGTAGAAATTTCTATGAATGCCAAAAAGGAGTTCTCTCTAGTTTCGAGGCAATAATTGATGAAGAGAACAAATACGATGTGGAGGATAAACTATCACAGATAAACACCTTGCAGCAGATGGAGAACTGTGCTAGTCATGGATTTTTGGCGGTGAGCCAAAAACTTTTTCGACTCTCAATTTCAGAGAAATGTGACGGATTTTTGTGAGCACCAGTTTTTCCAGGATATTCTCGCAAAGAAGGGAGCGGATCTACATGCGATGTGGTTTGACATTTTTGCTGGTGAAACATATCTATTCAGTAAACCGCGTCGAAAGTTTGTCTTGATCGATGAGAAGACGGTAGATAGTTTGCAAGAAGAAGTTAAGCAGCACAAGGCTTGAATTCCTTGCAGTACTTTTTTTACTGATCCTAAAATTATAACAAATTGAGCTTTGTTAAACATCCTTAGTACTCATTGTTTTGAAAATGTTGAGGCATATTTGGATGACTGGTTTCTTGTTTGAGACTGATTGAGAGATTTGTCTGAGCTGACTGCCCAGATGGCTGCTCATATGATTCATTTGTGAACTAGGAATTCAGCTCCGACGTCTCGCCCAGTACCGTACCCTTCCCGAGAAACCGTCCCCCAGTACGGTACTGGGCGAGAGTTTAGAAATTAATTTCTTTTCCACGAATGAACCTTATGAGCTGTTTTTTGGGCAATGGCTAGTCAGCTTCTCAATCAGTATCCAAATAGAAAGTGCATAGAAATCATGCCTTTAACACTTGTAGATTATTTATCGCACTGGTTAAATTTAGCACTGTATTATAGGTAGTTTAACGATGAGATTCCTTAACTTCAAATTTTATTTAACGATGAGATTCCTTAACTTCAAATTTTAATGTTATTTATTCCTAATTGTAGCACATTCGTAATTATGTGGCTATGCATTTTATTGCCCGAGTGACGCAGTTATTGTTTATTAGATTAGATTCGGACTCGTGCATCCTTTCTGCTTTTTTAGAGAGCAATATTCTTTTTCTACTTGTAGAATACTTCTAATAGTCACTTTATTGCTCATTAACTGGATTCGAGGTCACGTGCTCATTTTTGCCCTTTTAGATAAGATTTATCACTTTGTGCCACTACTCTGAAACACAGCACTAGTCCTTTTTTGTGCCTTGAAACCTGTGCCTTGTTCACCATCAGCTGCCATTTTCACATTGTCATAATAAGGGTTTGTAGATTTTTCACTGTGTCATTGTCAGGCTAATAAAAATTTGATTTCTTTCATTGTTGCGATGAATAGTTGTGAAATCTCAGTCTCTATTTTCTTAATTGGCAAACGCAGTAAATCGAAATTAAAGGTGGAAACGACTGACTGAAAGAGTTTTATTTGTAGGATGAGCTTGTTGTCGCGGTTTATCCCGAGACGATTTGCCGCTTCATCAGCATCTGCGTTAACGAAGCCGAAACGTTTCTACAAGGTACGGTTTTATCTGTGTAGAAAATGTATCCGCTGTCTGATTGGAAGCATTGTTGGCCATTGGATACCTAAACTACTTACCTGGATCGTAATTGGAAAGTCTTATCAAGCCATTATCAAGGCGGCAGTTTATATGGTTTTTTCGAGGCTCAGGAATACAACTCTGTTCGCCCGGTACCGTACCTGGACCCCTTTTCTCTTGGGAAAGAATGCGGTACTGGGCTAGAGTTTTGAGTTGAATTTCTCGGTCACGGATGAAGGAATATAAGCACCTTGAATGTCTTTTAATCTCTCGCCCACTACCGTACCCTTCAGCGTGCTATAATGGGCGAAAACTTAGTGCTGAGTTCTTTTCAGCCACCAAAGAGCATATTAGGTGCCGCTGACAATGTGACAGGAGCCTACCTGGTATTTTTATATGAATTTATGTAGGCAGATTTGTCTGGACATTGCCTTTAGTTTGCTTCTTTACTTGAGGGATTTTCCCTATTTCTACAACTCGAGCTTTTCATTGACTACCTACCGTTATCGTTAGGTTTATTTCCACACTTTTTTAATGCGGAGTTTCAGCAAAGTTTTTACCTCTAAAATTTGCTGTAAACTACCATGCTAAAAAAACATTTTTTAGATTTTCTGACACGTATGATAGATTCATTTTGTAAGGAGCTGCAGCACCATCTCATATATACTGTATACCTGTCTTTTTGTAGTTAAAATGCTGATCAAGTTAAAGCTAGTAGTCTCAACGATTCAAGATTCATGGACGAAAAAGCATGAGAGTTTAGGCTTGAATAATGAGTATGATTTTTCAAGACATCCATTAAAACAGCAAAGACAGTCCCGTTTTCATCTGAAATTTTTTTTTGCGTAAGAACTTTGTTTCATAGAACATGTATGTAGGTACATGTTATTATCAGCAGTGATTGGCTTTCTTTATTACTCATATCTGCCAAAATTCGTTTCAAAAGTCCAAGTTTTTTTTCAGATTGTCGATGTGGTCAGTGAGGAATCGCAAGGGAAAAAGTTCTACAAGGTGACATTAGATGGTCGTATGCTGAAAACACAGGGGGGCAATGTGTTGAAGGTTGGTCATCACTTACGAGATCAATTTTTATTATTCGAATTGTACAAGAAACTTGAGATACCCATAATTGGAATGCAGAAATAATGTGAAGTTAGCTTGAGCTTTCATAGCTATTTTTTACTCGTGGAGGGGCTGAATGGCTTTAGACCACAACAACTTTCCTTTCGTAAGCCTAAATTACACGAATTTGGCATCTTGGTGTAGACATTCCTAGGTTAATAGGACAAAAAGGATGTTATTATGGACATACCATCAATGGTGTGAGTGGTAGATCCCCTGAGTTGCAATAGCTTGTCCGTCTCGTGCTTGTCGTCGTCGACAGCGATACTATAGTCTGATCCAGGTATTTACAAAGGATAGAAAGCAAGGCGAGGAGCTGCAATAAATGCTCTCGAATGAACAAATAAATCATTTGCGAGTTTCTATTCACAGAACCCATTCAGCGCTTTTTTCCAGATAGTGGATGTCTATCTGTGTGCATATTTTTTTGATAGTTCATCATTAATTTGTGAATGAAAGGATATTTGGCTGAAGTGGTCCCTCTGGATGCGATGTGTACTGTCTTAAAGGCACCGTTCACCCAGATTCTCGACTTCCAGGTTTATGTCGTTCCAGGACCTTCTCATGTCCCTGATTCCGAATATGAAGTCGAGAATCCGCGAAAACCCACAGGGCGGCTTTCCGGAACGGTGATTGGAAGGGCGAGCACAAATGGGCGGGCATGGATGGGGGTCCTCGAGCATCTTTGATATTCCGGAGCGATTTTCTCGCTCCCGAAGCGACATTTCGCGCCGCGAGTCGGGCATTGGCTTGATAAGGGGCCCTACTATCATATGCTGCTAAAAGCTCAAAAATCCCAATTTAGGGTGGACGGTGCCTTTAAGCGAATTCAAACGCTTATTTTTCATCTACCCTCGTTATCTGCAGAGCCCTTTTTTTGAATGCAAAACTTTTTATGAGGAAAAATTCGAACATATGGTGACTTAGAATTATCCGAGTCCCTACAGACCTTGACTGAGAACCGCGATAAGTTTTAGCATTTTGGCATTTTGTGCAATGCATACTTTTGTTTAATAAATCAGGCTTATCTCTGCTCCCTTTGTGTGCCTAAAAGCCCATGACGATAGATTTGGTCTTAACCAATTTTGCTGCAAAAAACACTCGTCATTTCTTTTGAAGAGAAGCTCTGCGGTTGAAGCAAACAGTATTTTTGAAATTCAGTATTTTTGCCTTTCAGGCTAGGGTAGTACATCGCTCACGAAAGGTCACCTTGACAAGTTTGGTTTTCTTATAAGTTCGATATCTGTCAAATGAATCAAAGAAAATGACCAGTAAGAGAAAATGAGTTTGTAGTCAACTCACCATCATAAAAAGTCCTAAAATAATCATATGTAGTCCGATGTTATGCCAAGTCATATTGAATAACATAAGAAGACCGGAAGAGCCCACCGTTGTTGATCGATATCCCCCGTGTTGGATTCGTTTACTTAGTTGATAACGCCTTTCTCGCCACATATGACACACCCTCGCCTAGAGTGCTGCACGTAAATTTGCTTTGAGGTCGTAAAATTATTTGCGAGGTAGGCTGATAGTTGCACTACAGCTAGACTTGTGAATGGCAAACTTTGTTTAGAGATGACAAATTGCAGATCGAATCAGAGCCGCTGGCGCTGGCAATAGCGGAGGAATGGGCTTCACAAGAACAAAATATTCATATGACGCATATGAGACTGACAGGACTGGCTTTCACAGCGTATGATAATCCACTAAAATTGACGAGGTGAGTTGAAGAATCTTCCACATCACTCGCGCAAGACATCTATATTTTTATTCCCTTTTATCTTAACAGCTTCTTATAGGGTATGGAATTTTTGAAACTATGGGAATTAGACCGAAAACCTTATTTTTTCTATTCAGGGAATCAATAACTGCGAAAATTCTCGAATACTTACATGGTGACACGGTGTTGTTCTGGAACAATGAAAGTGAAAAATTGAGCAGGTACTTTACTCCGATTTTTTAGTTTAAGTTTTCTGATTTTCTTTTTAGTAATCAACTTATTTCTTGCAAAGCTTCCATTAATTCTTGACTAAATTTTTAGATATCAAGAACAGTATTGGAGGCCTGTAATAGACATTGCTAACAAAGGACTAGGAACATCATTGAAACCGACAACGGAACCATTTGGTAGGTTTTATGGATTGTTTTCCGTTCTAAGTTTATCGCACTAGTTGCAGTTTGTTTATAATCCTTTTTTGATAGTTTTGGCTCCACTTGTAAAAAGTGTAGGCTACTGCATGCAGAGACAGGGCCCCATTTCAGACTGTTGTCGTCTCTATCAAAGCACTTTCATTCCTACCGTCTGTATTCTCTCACAAACACGAATTGTCTTAGTCAGGCGCAGCGGCGTTCAGCTTCTGCGTGCTATGAATGGCTTATTACAAATTCTTCGCATATTCCCCTTTCCATCCAAGGAATGGGCCGCGAGACTTTGCGAAAAAAAACCTGGATGATTCATAAATATGCATATCGTTTGTTCCCCAGCAAGATTCCCATGATTACCACGTCATCTTGCTGCCTTTCGCTCTTTTGAACTGTTAACCTCGGGCAGTTCCGTTTAAATCTCAGCAGAAACGTGTCAAAAAGAGCGAAAGGCAGCGTCGCACCACGTACGCAGGCCGGTTCACATGGGGATTTTTCGGGGGCACACAGGATATGTTCTTCTAATTTATGGAAGCTATTCAGACATTTCTAAAAATGGAGTCTTTAGCAGCTTAGTGATCTGATTGCATAAGAAATTTTAAGCGGAAGGAAAAAACTGTTGGCTTTCCCCGCTCTCGATTTTTTCTGACCCACCGTACGCTAATTTGATTTTTTGCTGCTGTATATTAGTTTGATAGGAACATACCGTATTGCTAGAGAGCGCAGTCTAAACTGCGTGACTCCGCCCCCTGCACGCCCCTTTTGCCACCATATCTACTACTTTTCTTTATGAATTCACTGTCTTGTCAATTCAAAGATTACATATGGAATATTGCAGCCATTTCTGTTGTATCTCCTTCTGACGAGCGAATCGTGGAGAAATGGCTTCTTTCTCACAATTTTTGGGCTTTGACTGGTATGCAATACGCCGTTGAATCAGTGAAGAGCGTCCTGCTACCGTATTCGGTAATAACGTTTAAATTGCAAGCTGAAGACGCTGTACATCGTGCTATGTTGGAGCAGAGGACACAGGCAGAGACATGGGGTTCGGTACGTTGGACAAACTCTCCTTTCTTACATCCTTTTCCATTTCTCATAATTTTTCTTTTACTTATATTCTTCCATCTCTTTTGATGTCGTTAATGGTGAAGAATTGTCTAATCAGGTTGAATGGGCTCATGGAGTGGAAGAGGAGGAATTGACCACACGGTTGGCTGCCGCTGCCCTTTTCGTCTATTTCAACAGCAATGCTGTCACGAAGAAGACTTTGTAGTTTGCATTGATCTGTAGAACAAGTGAGTATTATACATAGTCCCGAAGATATGCATGTATTTTTGCATGTAGGCAATGCTCGAACCCGGGTGCAATTTTTGTAGAATAGTTTTCTACTCTGATGAGAAGTTGTTTATATGCACAAATCTGTTATGCTGTTATTACTCTGCACGATGATATGCAATGTTGAGTAAATGTGTCTGGCGCAATGGAAAGTGTGATTTGCATTTTTACCGAAAAGGGAAAAAAGGAAGATGGGGAGAGGGGAGAGGAGAATATGGTTTCTGTCTTGCTCAGTGCATGCCAATATCTGGTCTGCAGATGTGGGACATGAGCAGCATATTGGACTAGAAAACTATGCCTGTTGCGACGCATCGCGTTGCGTGCGCGGACTTGTACTCTTTTGGAACCGGGTATGAATAGGCCAATAAAAAATCGGAAAGGCGCTTATTTTTCGCTAGAGGCCTGCTACGATCGCAGAGGCCTGACATTTTGCCAGATGGAAATCGAGGCAAGTAAAATGACGCATGCATATGTCTTTTCACAATTTATAGAGTTGCCGTCAAGGCAAGGCGCGAGCGGTCGCGACGCGGGCGCACGTCATCTTTATTTTAGCATAGAATTGATGTAACTTCCTCTGCTTCTTCTACTTGCACAAACTCAGTGACGATTGAATCTATACTTTTATTTCTGATTTCTGCTGTCATCTTTGTGGGACCTCAATAGTGCACGACCCAAATCCCAAATACTTTATTATCGGAAGTATAAAATTTAGGATTATTTTTTTCATTACCAATCACAGGCTTCCTTATCACAGTGTTCTCGACAAAATTATAAGTCTAAGGAACTTAACCAACCGAAGCCTACTCTTTCAAACTGGCCAGATTATCGATTAATGTCTCATAGATCTCAACACCTCTGAGGTAGACTTTCTCATTCAAATACTCGTTGTGGTCATGCAGCAGTGAAGGGGTATTGTTCATTGGAGAAAATCCTATAGATCGGTAGCCAAGCTAGAAAAACATAATATATAAATTTTTTTTGTGATGAAGTTGGGGTACTCACCGCTCGGATAAAACGCGAGTCGGTGCCGCCGGTGAAGATTTCCTTGACGAATTTACAGCCTCTGAAAAAAAGCATTTTTTTATGCTAGGGCTGTGGTGCTTCAAGACTATCATAAGCAAAATGAAAAAAAATAAATTTTTTAGTTTGTAAAATAACTTCTCACTCACTGTTCTCGCAGCGATTTTTCGAACGTTGCCCACCATGGATCATCCGGAGTCGTTGGTGTCATATTTTTTATTTCAGTTTTCTGGAAGCATCCATAATTATAGGTTGATTATGATTAAAACGGAGCAAAGGGCTTAATCAGCTAGGAAGTCTAATTTATTCAACAAAAAATGTTTTTCGAAGAGACTGAAACTGGTCCTTACAGGATTGTTCATATTCCACCTAACCTTTGATTCAACTGGCTTGGCGGCTGGAAGGCGGGGCTTTATGACCTAATTAAGGCCGCTCGCCCCCCCCCCCCCCCCGTCTCTTCCTCGCGCGTGCTCTCTGATCATTACCTAGCCTCATTTACACGAAGCCCCGCCTTCCAGCCGCCAAGCCAGTTGAATCAAAGGGTAGCTTACCTGTAAAAATTTATACTCCACACCTTCTCCAGCATCATGACACCACTGGGTGATCTGTTTCGTTAACTCATCAAAATCTGCTGTAGGAGGCACCCGAATGTCAAATTCTATAATCACGGACTAATCTGAGAATCAAATCGGGACCTATTGACTTACTGGCCACAAATTTTTCAGGTAGTACATTTACTTGAACTCCACCCTCAAGGAACGTCAAATTGAGCGTTATCACATCGCCAAGTGTTTTATTGGGATCGGATTCCAGTATTTGACGTTGTTTTTCGCGAAACTCCAACGTTCGATTTATGAGTTTTTGCTAAAAAAATCTTGGATTTTTATCAAAATTTTTAGAATAGTACGGAAGTAGGCGAATGTTTTGTGATACTAAAAGTGCTCACCAATTTCTCAGCAGCTGTGTTGACGATGAATTTTGATCCATGTCCTGGTGATCCAGTACATGTGACTTGGAGCCCTGGAGTTCAAGATATAAAAAACAGTTGGTTTTTTTATCTTCAGTTCTTGTGATCACCAAACACTAAGTGATACATTGATTATATAAAATCAAAGATGAAAATCTCTGAAAAATCCGTGGACAAATTTCAGTTCATTGAAATACTCAGTTTGCTTTGCAAAAGAAACTTGTGCAGTTATCGTCCAATAAATCAAAATTCTCCCTCCCCCCCCCCCCCTTCTGCTTGCTCTCCCTCCCCCATAATCCTTTTTTATTTGATGTCTAATTCAGCTGCATCACCTGCATATCAGATTGAGAAAATGTTGAAGGGTTTTACTCAAAAAGGGAATGTTAGTTGATTTAGTATATTGTATTCAAAAAATTGAAAGTCATTATCTTAATGAAAACTGTTTATACTTACACCACGGACATCTCTCAGCATAGTAAACCTTGTACTCGTCAGTCTCATTTGCTAGACCCTCATCCAGCACAAAACCAATATTCAAGTCACGGAATTCCTTCATTTGGCAGAATAATGCCATTCCCTCAGCTGCTCCAATCTCTTCGTCTAAAGTGCAATACTTTCACTATATGAAATTAGTGTTGATAAAAACACGTACCTGGGCCCCAGACGATGTGGATGGTCCTCAGCCATTGCTTTCTACCACGCTTAAAATGCCTCCTGATAGCTTCGAAATATTGTGATCCGACACATTTCATGTCTTGCGCACCCCTGGCGTAGATGTCTCCATTTTCGTCTTTGTGAGCTTCATAAGGATCGTATTTCCATTGGTCCTGTAATCACTATAATTTTTCTTTGAAAGGATTGAGGAGGGGGGGGGGGGGGAAGAGAGAAAGGAAAGGAAGATAAATTGAACGATGATAAAAGTGCTATGGTAGCAGCGAAAGTACAGGACTAACTGGCGAAATTCCTTCCTTTGATGAACATTATTTTTTCCAAAATTTTAATGATTTATATATACGTGAATATTTCCGCATATTTTTTTATCTTTCATTATGTATCTCCATTTAGATTATAGCTTTTTAGAGGTAAAATTTGTTAAGGAAAGAATTTAATTAATTAGAAGTTTTCGAAAGTATTCTTTCTTTGAACTCACCTTGAAAGTTGGTACTACATCAGTATGTGAGTAAAGCATAAGAGATGGAAGCTCTGGCTGTTTGCCAGGAATTGTCATAATTATAAATGGTTTTCCGGGCACAGTCTGCAATAAAAGTAATAAAATTCAGCAAAACAAAAGTAGCTGGCTCTTATAAGAAACAATGCTTACCTCAACGGCATGTCGTTCAATTTTTAAATCATCTGCTAGAGCGAAGAGGAATGTTTTACAAGCTTCTAGAATTGACAATATGAAATATTAGCCGTTGGGTGTCAAAATGATTATAAGCTGGGTGGGTCTTACAGTTATTCCCACACTTTTTTTCCAGCTAGGGCCTACATCCTATCTATTCAGAACTACGGGAAGGAATCAACCAAAATCAAGGTTTTTTGTCGATAAATTTCTTAGAAATAGTAAGTTTCTTCATCACCTACCGTAGTCCGGATGTGGCTGTTCCGTGTTGATTCGCAAATATTCACGAAATTTAGTGACAGCAATGTCTTCCATGACTGCAAAGTCTCGCGATGATTTCAAGATAGTGTATCGGTTTTACAATCAGTTGTTTATGAAAATTTGACGAAATTATGTTCATAAAATTATAGCACAAAATAGTCAAGGTATATAAAAAATGCTGTTCAAGTATGAATTTTTGAGAATTGAAATCACTGAAGAGATTGTAAGGTTTATGGTAGTAAACAAATAAAATTTGTTACGACGATCAGGCATGATAGGCGGAAAGGGATGCAATCTCTTATCAGTGTACAGTGACCATGACATGCGTGGTATCTGGTTTTTGCCAATGAGGAACTATTTCAAAGGAAATTGAAAATGTTCAAATGCAGAACATCAGTTCCTTTGAATAAGCAAAAAATCGTTATGCGGTATCAAATCGTTACTCGAATGCTGTGGTTGTTGAACTTGTGACAACACCTGCGAACAACATCAAGTGAATACTTACCAGTTGTCTGCAAAGTGCACAACAATTTCGTAACAACAAGATTGGTTCTGGAATCGTTAACAGTTTCAAAGGGCAGTTGCTAGAGTGCAGTCACAACCTACACCTTGATTCAATGGCATTGGCAGCTGGAGGGCGACCGCTCGCAACCGCAACGCAGTCTGCGTCTCTCTCGCGAGCGTGCTCTCTAATTAATTGCTAGCCTTAACCCATTGACGACGATGTGCGCCACTGGTGGCCCACGCGGGTGCGGTGCAAGAGGAACGATAGTAATTGCCAGCCGCTGATGCCAATGCACTATTTGCCATCACAATTCGCAAACTGCAAACTTATAAAAAGTAGTAGAAATTTACTGCTCTACTTAAATTATTTAATAAGTCTTGCTCAAATCCAGGTGGACAATTTGGTGATGTTCTTGCAGGAATACGCTTGAAATACTTAGAGTTTCACCTTTGAGGCCCTTTTTGGACATTTTCAGCTAGTTTTCACACCTCATTTCTAAGCAAGCACAATCAATCCAATTCTCCTGTCTAGATGAAAGCATAAAAGAAGGAAATGCTATAAATTTCTGTGTGCTGATGGACAAAAATGACGGTGAAGTATGCGCGAGTTATTGACACCCACCACCTATCGTTCCTCTTGCTCGCCACCCGGCCCACGCACTTTTCGCTGCCAGAGACGATGTGGACCACCGGTGGCTCACGAGCCTTGCAAAGACATATTATTTGTAGGCCTAGTATTTCTTCCAGATATCGATATTTTTTCCAACTTTCTGCAATGTTGGGACATGTAGGCTCCGCCGTTCAAGAAAATGGTTATAGTTGTTTACAAAACAACCTTGTTTTTTCGCAAATAACCACAAAACCTTCCCACACTAAAAGTGTTGTGCAGAATCGCGTCGTCCCACAGCGCCATTACGCAAATTTAGGCGTCATCGTCAATGGGTTACCATGATTTCCGGGGTATAAGGCGCACCTTGTATAAGGCGCACCCGCCGCAGCGAACGATGGCGCGAATACGCTTTCTAAATAATTGCTCTCTAAATCTAGAAAGCTGAAGACTCAATGTGATGTGGTTTTTCTTCACTGCCCATAAATCATGCCTTCAAGTATTTTTCCCTATTCTCAGAATGTATGCTTTGATATCGTTTCTACAGGTGGGAGGAAGGTGCTCCCAATGGTGTTTATGGTGTTTAGATGATTTTTTCTTTTGTTTCCAATGATGTTATGGGTGCTACATTTGTGCTTTCCTTCTCTTCCAATAGCTACTGGTACTGAAACTGTGCTATCCTTCACAATGATACCACTGATATTTTGAACGTTTTTGTTCTATTCTTGTCGTTTTCGGAGAATCAAAAAATAAATAGAGATTTGTTTTGAAGCAAATCACTATTGAGAGGAAAACAGCAAAGAACGAGAGCAAAAAGCTATTGGTCGGAAGAGGTTGCTGTTGGCTGCTTGTGCGGCTCGCGAACGTCATCGTACAGTCAGTCCGCGCGCGGTGAGGGATCGTTCAGACCGCGCCAGAATCCGTCCAAACCCGCCCGAATACGTCCAAATCCGCCCAAACCCGCCCAAATACGTCCGAATCCGTCCGAACCTGCCTGAACGCTGGAACTGCCACAGCGCAGCGGATATGCGGCAAATTGGCATACTGGAGCAGGCGTGGAATAATGCTCGCGTAGTGCATTATCTCAGTCACACGTAGCTCGACGTTACATACCGATCTTCTTTTGCAACTACTCCGATATTAGAAGGATCAATCGCACGCGTGCTCCAATATGCCAATTTGCATGCAACCTGCTGCGCTTTGGCAGTTCAGGCGGGTTCGGACGTATTTGGGCGGGTTTGGGCGTTTGGAAATATTCGGGCGGATTCGGACGTATTCGGGCAAGTTTGGGCGGGTTCCGGCGCGGTCTGAACGATCCCTGAAAGCTACTGCGCCTTATACCCCGGAAATTAGGGTAATTAGGCTTCTAAGCCCCGCCTTCCAGCCGCCAATCCCATTGATTTAAAGGGTCTTATCTTCAAAACTTACACAAAATGCAGATACATATCTTGTCGCTTCGTCTATTTGACATCGTTTGTGCCTACGGTATTCATTATTGTTTGCAGTCGGCATCCTACTTTGAATCATCCTAATTTACTTCTGGTGGTTTTATTGTTTAACTCAAAAAAGACCACCAAGCTCTTTTCCCATTTTCTGTCTGCATCTGCTCGATGCCTTCACAAACCAAAATGGCAAAAGTGCAGCCTGAGCAGCAACTGTAAGCAAAAGTTCGCGTTCATTATTTCAAAGGCAGCGTCTTGGCAAAATGATGGGTACCCAATTTTTATAGTGTTGCAGTGGCAGACCCCAACTGAACTATCAATGAAGTCCGGAGCTAAAAAGCACTTCCGGAAAGCCCAAAATCACCTCCAGAATCCTCCCAGACTCCGCCCACTTGTTCCGGATCCCGCCCTCTTGCAAGTATTTCGCAGCGAACGCAGACACGGAAAGCTGCAAAAAAATGCTCATTTTTGCCATTTTCAAGTTCAAGCCTAGATATGGGTTAAGCAGAGCGAGAAGGCTTCGAAGTTGTAATAAACCGGAGAGGGAATTATTGCCGGGACACTGTTTTTAATGTATTAATTCAAGCTGTAGTTTATTCCGATCCGTTTTCCAGTATATTGCTCCAGATGGCAGAATCCATACTGCTAAAGTGATTTGAAGAACGGCATCTATGTGCAAAAATAGATTGAGAGAATTGGAATCCATTGATTCAAAATTTGTGACAAAGCTTCTGGGCTCAATTTGAGCTTTATTAAATTTTCTAAATCCATTGACTACTGCTGCTATCGTTGCATAATCGACACGTACTTATCAATCTCACTGCAGACGAGATTAATAAGGATGAGCCTACAAAAGTCAACGATTTGTCCCCGCAGAACTGGAAGAGATGAAAAAATTGCGATCTACTTTTAATGGGATGGGCTTCTGGGCCATAGGCAAAGGAGTAAAAGTGCATTTCGTTTTCGAAAACCTGTTTGCATAAATAAAAGTTCAATTTTACTTCGCAGTACAATCTCATTTCAGACAGAAAATACCAAACAAGAAGCACTATATAATACTGAATCTTTTCAAAATCTGTTCTGATGATGGATAACCTACCTTACGAAGGACTAGTGGGAGTTAGTGCTCAAAGAGATAATGAAGTCGTTCTTATGTCATCACGACGCCCAAGCGGACATTTCAAACGAAAAAATAAGAGTCATTTTGACAACAACGCCGGCAAAGCCTTTGTTGATATATCGGATGAATGGGCTGCTTGAAATCTTTTGCACCAAGAAATTTGGATTTGCTTTTATGCTACGTGGAAATCGCCGTTCAACACCTGGAGCCTCTACAAAATGCAACTCAACCTAGAAATCATCGGTTTTTGGTGACATCATTAGCATTAGCAGGGCTCCGACACGCAGCTGGCGGGGCAAGCTGGATATCGTTTTGGAATAGAAAGCAAAGGGGATATGTTCCTTTTTTGTCACCTTCCATCTTCTATAAAGGACGCATATTGTTTTTCCGGCCTTTCGATCCCATTCCTGCAAAAAAAGATCTCCCGTTTCAACAGGTTCTTTGTTTAAGTGCGGTAATTCAAACTGCCAGGAAATAAACAAAAGACTTGTTCACAGCGAAGAGAAAATCAAATGATACCATTGGTGTGTAGATGGGCAATAGGGAGTTAGGATTATATGCGAAAAAATAGGAAAAATTATATGAAGTGAAGGCGTGGCTTTTCGGAGTTAAAGGCAGCTCCAGGCGGATCTGGACCGATGGGGCTTTTACGTGGAAAGTACTTTTGGGGCCCTAACTAAGGCACTGTCCAAGCGGCAGCTCAGGTAGTGATGTAATGGCTGAGATATTCCCCTCGAAACTGGACCCCGCGACCGTGTTTCGCATGGATTCATGGCGCAAAGCGTGGATCCTGGCGCGAAACTGCCATGAATCCATGCGAATACGTTTGCGGGGCCAGTTTCGAGGGGAATATCTCAGCCATTAGAGCACTACCTGAGCTGCCGCTTGGGCAGTGCCTTAGTTAGGGCCCCAAAAGTACTTTCCACGTAAAAGCCCCATAGGTCCAGATCTGCCTGGACGCTGCCTTTAAGTGGCTTTCCAGACAACCATCTAAGGTGGTTGTGAAAAGAAAAAGTTATAAATTTCCCTTCATTCACCTAATCTTTTCACATGTTTGACACGCTTTGTTCTACATCAAAAACTCTGCAACTGAGTTCTTGAATCTCTCAGAACCCCCTCTTCCTCGCCTAGTTACAGCCCTCCAAATAATTTATACGACGGCGGCAAGCCTGCTCCAAGCGCGCAAAGGTGCGCGCCGGACATAGCATGCGACAACACGGAAAATACGAACATCTTTAACTCTTTTTTCGTCTGTTCAGTGTTGCTTTTATGTGTCCTATTCTTTTACGTAAGCCCCTTCTATACTGCCGCTATATTGAAGCTGCATCGTGTGTTCTATGCAAAAAGATGTTGACACATGTTTTGAATTTCTCAATGCACA